TTATTCATGTTCATTAAATTTAAAAGTGTTGCTGCTCAAGTTATAGTTTGTCTAGCAGTGGCAACCGCTTTTCTCACTTTTGACAGCGTTAACTGTTAAAGAGAATTCAAAATCGCGCATCATTTTGAGCTCAGATCTCCTACGTTCGACGGCGGCGATAGAGTAAATTTGGCTAAGCTAGACGACCTGAGCTGACAAAACGAATGACGAAATTATGGTGATTTCAGCTGAAGCTACGGATTTTCAGTTAACATCTGACAAAAGGTCGACCACATCAAATTTTAGGCAACTTTTAGACCTAAGACATATTGTTCGTATAGCGGCTTTACGGAACTTCGCGAGTCGGACAACTAACCGCACATAAAACGGGCGCGTTGCGGTCCTTCACACCATCTTCTTCAGTACGCTCTTCTTCAGGGCGTTATGAAGCGCTACGTTAAGTCTTTGTGTGATTAAATCACCGAATTAAAATAACGGCGCAATTGAAATCGCGAAGTGAAAAACCTCTACAGATGAACAATTATTGTTCCGATAAAATATTGTGACTTCGAAGCACTAAATAAAAGAATGAGAAAATTAGAGAAAATCATTGCTTTTGCGCTTAAGATTTATCAATGCGGGCGTGAAGTCCATTGGATCTTGCTGAACGAAAACATTGACGTTTCCTTGAAATTCGGACGAATGAGGCCCCATCTAACAAAATAAGCCTCATCTGCACACACATATGTGTATATATATATATATATATATACTGGGATAATTCTTCTCTATATACATATAGATGTGAGGACATTGAAAAATTCCCTGCCGTTTTTGTAAAAGGGTGCAGCTAGCACTATAGGGTCGTGAATTAAACATATCTATAACTTTTCCATCTGAACGTTTAGGCCTTAAGCCATACATGATAATATAGATTATATCGAAAGTACCATTTTTAGTATCTTTGGACCGTGTTCTATTTCTAGTGTTTGCAAGTAACTGGGCAATGGATGCGTTATGCCCTAATAACCGTAATGCAAGACTAGGTGAACTAGTAGCATCAACAATAAAGCAGAAATAAAAAAATCATTAGAAAGCGTTAACAACAACAACTGATCAAATTATGACGAAAAACTGACGCAATATGCGAAAGTCATGCAATCGTTAGTTCTCAGTCTGATGCCTCAGTGTTCCGGCTCTGCACAACAAAACACGGTCAGAAAATGTTAACACCGATGATCTGATATCATCAGCCAGTGCTTCTTTTCAATAACACCGGTTGCAATCAATGACTCGCTTTTCGAACAAGGCCTTTATATTTGTTATGATAACCCAAAAAAAAAAAAAAAACAAAAAAAAACAAAACGATTCCAAGTGTTGATAACGTCTACATATCAATTGTACTTTCTGCACGGAATTTCTATTCTACATAAGCGGTACGAGTCTACATAAGCGGTAAAGTTATTAATATTCCTAATATATATACATATTTATGTGCATAACAGTATACTTGGATATGCAAACACGTACCCATAACTTGGCCACATAATAAATTTTAAAATTTCCTTTTTTCTTCTATTTTGTGTCTACATCATACATATGCACATAGGACACATATATTTACATACGATTATGGCACAAATTTGATATAACTATACATAGTAGTGCACTTGTTTTCCTTATTACCAGATATATATACGCACTCTTCTCTACTTTCGCATATAGGCTGAGTTCACAAACACCCGCCCGCCCGAACACATGCTTAAATATTTCGTATATATGATTATCTAACACAATTGTGTTTATGGTTACTGCACTACAATCGCAATTACAGAGTATGAAAGAGAAAAAGCTTTTGTGTTTGTATAAAACCCGAAATATTTTAATATAATCAAGCAATTGCATGGAATATATATATATATATATAGATATTAATATATATATATATATACATATATATATGTGCATGTGTACGTTCGTCTGTGTATGTTCGTGTTTGTGTGTGTGTGTGTGTGTTGTGTGTGTGTATGCTGTAGACAAATACTATTGTATTGACTAGTTACTCTTTACTCATCTCATGCAGACTGACTGTTGTCGCTTAAGCCTGTTGCCTTTCATGTGTACGTTGCTTGCTGTGCTTTATTTTTGCTTTTTTATTCAATTTTTATTTTCGGTAAACAACCAACAGTCCTTTTTTGCTTCGTTAGTAAGAATAAGAATATATATCTGTATATATATATATGTATATATGTGTGTATATATATTTTGCCATTATTGTTTAGATAGTGTATTTAGCTTATATGTAGGTTTTTGGTAATTTCATGTGTGAATTAAAACTTCATTTGTTGCATGTCTGACGCTTTTGAAAATTTTATCCTGCCGAATGGAATAAGGGTGAAAAAGAATGGAGATAAGCAAATAAATCTAAAAGATGACTGAAATTCGATTTGCTTTAGTCCAAAGTTTTTAATGCCTACCATTAGCTTATATTGGAACGAGAAAACTTTTCAATAAATTATCATCATTTTCTTGTTTCCGGATAAGCGACTCATTATCAGTATATAAGTATATAAGTGTGCGATACTTGGTTGCATTAATGTACGATAATCCGTAGGATATATTTATATATATATAGAAAAGCGATATTTAAAATCCATGGTTTAAAAGCTTCTTGCAGGGATTAAAACTATTTTGCAAGACATTTTTCAAAACAAGGCAACGAAACACATAAAAAATTCAATTCGATATGATGATGAGTGTGTTTTGAATTTGAAGAGAACTTTTTGTAATTTTCCCAATTTTTTGCCACTATATCTAAGATGTTTTCGAAATACTTCTGTGACGACGCTTTCACGGCGCCAGTTCTTACTGGTTATGAGCATAAAACCTGCCAAGTTAGATGTACGTAAAGGAAATAAGCGAATTGCGTTAGATCGCATGATTTTCAATAAAAACTCATTGGATCGTTTCATGAAATAATAATAAGATGTCAGTGGCAAAGTGGTCCTTTCAGTCAATTCAGTCTTGGTAAATGCAATTCGCTAGATTAACAACTTTTAAGCCGACGTGATTGAAAGTGGATTGGCTTGGACCACAAGAAATAAATCTGTATATGGCAGCAAAGTAACCTTTTTAATATTTTGACAAATAGTTTCAAATTTACTAAATTTGGACTACGTTGGTTCGCGTCTATGTGTCGCTCATACGCAATTGTTCGCCTGAAAAGTAAACAGTTATTTAGGAACAAGATAAGGATAAGGATAATTTTAGGCAAATAAGTTAAGAATTATCGTATCGATGAAGTCATGCAGAGCATTTTATTGCCGTCCTGCTCGATTAAGAAGTGACAAAATCAAATACTTGATGCTTCAAAATATAATCCCAAGAACTACGTTTTCAAGCGAGGACATTTGAAGAAAATACACAAACCATTGTCATTATAAGCATTGTTACAATTGTTAAAGAATCTACTGAGCTGGAAGTGAACTTCATGTCCAAACATCGTAAATTTTTCCTCGATACAGGGTAGATCGTTTATTAAGGTACAACAATCGGAACAATCGGTCGTATGTTTAACCCTTTCTCTCTCTCTCTCTCTCTCTCTCTCTCTCTCTCTGTTCTCTCTCTGTTTTCTCAAGCACTTCTCATCGGTTTTGTACACTTGCAAGGGCGAGTTTTTAAAGTGAGACGTGCACTAACTTGCAACGCATATTTAAATCGTTTTGTACTAAATCGTAGACACTCTACTTGAATATATTTGCTGCATTTAATCTGCAAGTGATTGAAGTAAAGGAAAAAGTTCTTCTTTCTTTTCTTAAAACCATTGAGACTTGGAAATATAAATAAAATAAAAAATATAAGCATCATGCACGAAGAAGCAGTCAATTTAAATGCTAATTACTTTGAAAAGCTCTTTACAAGAAACTTGAAAATCATAAACAAGCTGATTAAGGTCGTCACTGCACAAAGAAAATTTGCGTTATTCGCACACTGCGCAGAAAATTTTCTGTGAATAACGCAATTTCAAAAAAAATTTTACAAATAATGAATTAATTACTTAGAGTATGTAACATTTCATGGCCAAGTTGAAGAACGTATAAATTCACTTACCGCACACGCAGTATGTAAGATTCTCCGAGTGTTTGATAACTTTCAGTTTTATGATTGTTGATAGCAAAAAGATCGAAATATATATATCCTTTGAATTCTTCGTAAAAATGATAGGATAAATTTTATTCGCTTAATATAGGCAAAGATGTGAAAATAAAAAATTTATACCATCAGTGATTGCATCGCAGCCTTTACATTATGTTTTCAAAACTGACAGCTTGAAGAACGGATATGATTAGAAGAAATGTAGTGAGAGAAATGTTTGAATTTAGACTCAGTTACTTCATTTCTGAAGTTATTTTCTAGCTGGCCTACAAAGTGCTCATCCATACATAACTATAATTAATACGCCTTATGACTGATCAAGTGAAAATTATTTTTAGTGACGCAACAGTAACAGAGGCCAATGTGGGCCAGATCCCGTTCTAGCTGCTTCGATTTAGCCATTGCAAGAACATTTTCTTAAGATGAATCAATCATTGACGTCAATATTTCAAGAATTTTTTCCTGCCGCCACCTGATCCGTTAAACATGGGCAATAGTCACCTGTTGCGATTGATTTGAAAATGATTCGCCTGAAGATGATTGATCAATTAATAAAGTACGAACTGCATAACAAGAGATCGTTTAGTCGTTTTATGATGACCGGAGCTAAACGACCCGTCTAGGGACAATCGATGGCAGCAAAGTCTCTTCATCTTCATGCAATCGCTGAAAGTGGAATTTCGAAATCAAGCGCAACTTGATCGCAGACAAGCCAATGATGGATAATAAAAAAAATTCGGCCAAAGCTGATTATAAATATTTCTTTTTTCATTTTGTTTTGACACAGCTCTCATAGAATTAAAATTGTATGAGGCAAAGAATGCAAAGCTATAAAAATTGATTTGCAATAGCATTATAACTTTAGTCGAATGTCGAGTAAAGACAGCTAAAGTAGAAAGAAGCTGCGATAAAATGTTGAAGACTGTTATACCATTAAATCTACGATTTTTGACATTGTTGATATTTGTCGAGGGTAAGCTATAATGATCGAATTGTAGTTTTAGTCTTTCACTGCATTAGTACATTTTCAGGTGCGTTCGTCGCGCATGGATTTTTGCCAAATGATCTCACAGACGATACAGAATCTGTTAATAATACTTCGATTGATAATTTGACTTTGCCTGTCCTTACTAAAATACACGTTATTGAGAGTAAAAAAAAGAGCCGCGTGAGTAGCACAAAATCGAATGGAGTAGAGGTTATTAGAAACGATAGGTCCGAAAGTTCTCTTAGGCAAAACAGTGACAATAATTTGGAGGAAGAGTTCAATAAATCTTCAAAAAATTTCGTTGTTAAAGTAGACAATGAAACCATAGAGAATCTGCAGGACACATCTACGACTCGTTCTACGGAAAGAAAACCGTTTGGTGTGAGCAACCTTTTCGCGGGAAAGAAGCCAGCTGACGACGTTCCATTAAATCCCTCTCCAAGGCAACAAGCGTTTTCCCCACCCTCTACGGCAAGCTATAATCCAAGGAACATTAAACAATTGTTGAGAAAACGACTTTATATAGGCAAATTGGGATTTTAAGCATTACAACTGTTACAAGTTGCCTAAGTTTAATATAATTTATTTTAACTAATAATTTACATAACTATGTGTAATTTACAATAGACAAATTATAGTAAAATTATACCGCCTTAAGGTGACTTTTGAGCATCTAACATCGCCTAAGCGTTATCGGCTTTCATTCATAGTCATTTGTGCTGTAACATGTGCTGGGCCATGTAATGTGGCTCATTACCTTACACTTCTTACTAACTCCACAGATGGCTAATGCGAAGGTTCAGCCCGTGTAGTTTGTGTAGGGACTTTAAAAATTCGAATGGCAGATGAGATGAGCAAAAAAAAAAAAAGCTCTGGAACGCATGAACAATTCGACCTAAAGTGACCCAATAGCTTGTGTTGATCAAGAGCATATATAATCAGTATGATCGCTGCTCTATTGCTGCTTCTATTATTTTTTGTTTCAAGACTTTAGTTTTCGAAATTATTTCTCGCTCTAAATAAACAATAATAATAATAATAATAAAAATAATAATAATTTTGAATTATACCAGTGGTAGCTATTCACTGATGATGGTTTCATTTGATAGGATACTGACAATGAAATAAACAAAGTTGCATCAGCCAGTTCCATTTTTTCTACATTTCGGTCTCATCGGTCTTATTATGTTATTTAAATTAATATTTGTATTAAACGTTCTAGCAGCACCAGGTAACGACAAATGAAACCGTCCACGAAAAAATCCAGTTCTTCTTATCAAACAAAGCTTATGTGTGCAAATAAGAACAGCTTTCTTCAATGAGGAGGTTCTTAAGGTCTCCTATCCATTTACATTTTACAATTCGCTCGAAAATAACACATGTTGACTAAATTTCCTAAACGAGTGCACCTTAGAGCTAACAGCTTAGCATTACAATGATGTTTTTTACCAGGTTCGTAAGCACTCTTCTTAGGATTTATTTAGAAAACACGGCGATTGTGGACAGGCACAAAAAAAAAAAAACGCCCAGACATAAATAAAAAAAAAAAATGCTAAGATAAAGGTTCGTAGCTTGACCTAAACTGGTGACTGCATTACATGACAAAAGCAGCCCACTTGTAATTCGAATCAGAGAAGTGAGTCTTACGAACGCGAACAACATCGTCACTGACTTGATCGAAAGTCAAGTTTCGTTCGTTAAACCAGTGATATCATCAAGTTGTAAGCATCAGTTGGAAGCGTTAACAATTTCATAGGCGAATAAGAACGATGGGTTACACGTGCACATTCCGTGAAAGATTCGGTTTTCTTGTTAATCGATTGCGATAAGAATAAAGAAAAGAAATTTTACATAATTTTTACTAATTTAACAAACACGTGGAACAAATCGATCAAAATATATTTCTTTGGTATAAAAATGGAATTCTTATTAAAACTTGTCTTAAACTGAGTGTAAAGCAAATTGAACGAACATAAGAAAAGAGAAACTTTTTCAAATTATCGAATATGTTCAAATCGTTGAACTGTTACCAATTCCTGATAATTCATTTACTTTTAATGCAGAGTAAGTAAATCATATGTTCGTTGCTCACTCCAAGTCAAGTTGTTATACTTTTTCAGTAAATCTTTCGATGGGTCAACTTTTCGATGGAAACCTTGCCTATGTTAGAGACATCACCGATTTGCAAAAAATCGAGGGCGAAATTATAACGCAAATAGGGGCAATTGAGCAAAAGCTAAATCAAGATTTGGTAAAAATTCGCACTTTTTATAACGATGTTCACGCTTGGGCAAACAGTGCAATGCAAAAGATTCGCAATAGCCAGCCAGGGGTATGCGCGAATTTACTACAAACAGGTAGTACGCCGTTCAATATTCCAATTATTATGCCTACGAGTGAAACTTCAGACTATAATTTAAGTCTATCATCTAAAGCACGAGCAGATCATTCTAATGATGTTTTGTCTGCCGAGGCGGTAGATGGCAACATGTCATCCACGATACGGTAAGAAAGCTGCAGTAAAGCATTATTGTCATCAGAACAGCACCGTCTCCCACATAATAGTTTTACACATTCGTTATCGTAAAAATTGAACATTTACGTATTTGATTACGCGTGACGTTCTATCTAAAATGATATTTTTCAATTATATAGCCGAAGCATTTAAAACATTTTTATTTGTTAATAGGTGAAATCAGTTTGATTATGTTACTTAGATGAACATTAAAGTAAAAAAAGAAGAAAAAGATAACTAATTAAGAGACTTAATTACTTCTGCTGCTAATGCCAGCTAAATTAATGACTGAACGATTTCTCCGATATCGGCGTACATATTTTATAACGTTCGGCAGTTATATTTTCGAATTTTCCAAAATCAAAAATATAATTATATTGGAACGAATAGGTAGGTAAAGGATATGCTATGTCCTCTCTGCAGTACACATCAAATTTCTTAAATAATCTACTAATCTATATAAATAACTGATCGACCGCAAGAAAATCAAGAACACGCCTCGATCATACTATTGCAACATACTAACGGATCCTTAAGAAATGTGCTCCTCCGATATGCAATTGTGGGAAAAATCTTACGATTAGATCTATACTTTCTGAATGCCAAAACCTTTTCAATATTCGAAGACCCGTTTTCGAAGCATCCAACCCTGGACAACATACCATCAATAAAATATTGAATGAGCTTATTAAAGCTCTTAGACCAACCATTTACCAGTATAACTTTAGAAAGAGAGAAAGAGAGAAGAGTGCTACCGCTAATTCTACTTTCTAGCTCGAGAATTTATTTCTCCGATCCAAGTTCATTATAATAGTAATGATAGAGCAATCCATTTATACATCTGATCAACGGGAATAGTTAAATTTTGTTTCTCTCTGCTGGCATCACTATTGTAGCGCTAAAATTCCATTTGGAGACATAAACTGCTTCTGAACCCTTTTTTTCGTAATCTTATCACGATAATTTCGGGGATCAGCGTAATAAGTCAAATGTTCAGACAACACTCATAATTGTCCAAATTTTTTTTATTTTACATTCAATATTATAGTCTCAATATTAAGGAAATTCTAGTCTGAACCTTTGAATTTGTTTTTGGTAAAATTTTTGAATCAAGTTTTTCAATTAAGTAAATCGTATCCGCAATTGCAAGAAAAATATTCACAAATAAAGAGAAAGTAACGAGATGGAGTATAATTTAAAATTTTAGTGAGTAAAATTTATCAAATCCGAAAAAATTTATTGAATACAGAACAAGTCTAAACGAAACACAAGCGATCCTCGTAAATTCGCTCGTGATTTCTATTATTTCAAAGTCTCGCTCGTGCAACATTGCTTTCGTGTAACACAAAACAGGTTTCAATACAACACGGTACTCGTCATTACATTAGTCTTTGTTATATCTTGGTTTAAGTAAGTATGCAACGCGATACGAATTAATCGTGTTATACGAGGGGCACCTGTGTAGCGCTTTAATGCTATTTTTTTTCATAACCAATGCAATGTACAGGCCGTAAATGGTGTAAAGGTGTTTGTTAATACAGGTAGACCCACGTGCCAAATATCAGCTTCCATAGGTCCATTTCCTCGCCTTACATCGACGACATGCATTTCTTCTTAATTCACCTTAACAATAAATAAATGGTTAGCTTGATTCCCCGGCCAACATACTTACAACAACTTGACAGCGATAACAGCTGTCGCAATTTTTTCATTCATTACGGCTTGTATATCGCCGTCTTATTCTCGTACGACCGCCAAGGGGGTGGGGTTATAAAACGATTGATTCCCTTTTCTCGAAAGATATTTAACTGTTCCTCTATTTCAACTTTTGCAACCCTCCCCCCAATGGTGCTCCTTGTACATTCATCACCGAGAGGTGACAGTATGCTAAACTTATGTTTTCGTTCGTAGCATATCGACTATGCTTCAGGTAGCCCGTAAAATATATATACTTGATATTCCTCAGTATAGGATTCCAAGTTGATTTAACTATCTCCGCCCATTTTTTCTCTTCGGTCATAGTCTAATACTTTGTTAAATATACCAAAGCATTGTTTGAAAGATGATTAAAAGCATGATGGGCTACGAGAAATGTATTCAATTTTCAAAATATTACAACACTTGTTAGTTCAATGCGTTGAGTAGCGAGTAGAGGGTGGCTCGAAGCGAATACAACTTTATTCGTTTTTCTTTATTTTTCGAGACCGAGAGATAACCGTCGCGATGACATGTATATTTACATCATGCATACGCATTTTGCGCAACATCGTACGCATATGTATATGTACATGTTGCGTATTGATAATTAAAGCACAAGTTGCGCAAATACACGGTTTTTCAATAAAACTGATTTCCTTTAATAAAAAATTAATTGAAAAAAATAAATAAAAAAAATTGGAAAAAGCAAAGTTTTTTTTTTTTTATATCAAATCGTATTCGATGCTATTAAGTGCTATTAGATGCAACATCATTCAAACATTCACCGGCATTCTTGTTGCAGGAATGAATTCAGTGAATCGAGTTTCCAATCTCACTACATTTGACCTAATTTCACCGATACAGATACGCTCAATATTCGTTCTTAATTGATATACGAAATCAGTTTTATTGCTGTAGACCAACGAAAGATATGAAAAATCACCGAAATTTCTTGAAATTTTTACACCACCGAACTTGTTATGTAATAATTAGATTGGTCTGCTATAAAAGGCCATAAAAAATGCATTAACATCGATCTCTTATGTTCTCCACTTACAGGTAAGGACCAATAATGTGCAATAACTCGAACGCCAAGGAAAACGGCCAACTTTGCGGAATGTGCCTCGTGGATAACTTGAATAACGTGAATAATTGGCTTCGTACAATGATACACGTTTCACTTATTCATTGGAACGGAAATGAAGCTAATCTTAGACAATGATTTGCTTAAAACAACGAAGCAAAATCAGCGATTTCACAACGTTCCCGATAATCGAAACGAAATCTTAATTCGTGTGTGAGAATAGTATGTAGATCCACATACTTTGACTTTACTTGACTTGAATTGACAATTGCCTTGGTGACAGCGACACTGTTTGGCCATCAGAGAAAGTAAGGAAGCGCACTTAGGAGGACGATAACGACGACGAGCGCAAGAAAAAGTTTGTGTACATGAGCACGCGACAAGCAAAATGGAGTAATTTTTGATACTTAAACCATAGCCGCCCCCTGTGAAGAAGGATTCGTAAATCACGCATATTGAAAAGTCTTGTACCCCCCACCATCATCACTACTTCACCTGAGAGAATGGAAGATGTCCTGCTCCCATCAACATACCTCGCAAAACATCATACAGAATAAAGAATTTTTGATCGGTCGATCATATACTGACTGAAACGTTTCTCGTAATACGTTCGAAAATAATAAAAATATCAAATATATCTATGCGCTATAGCGGTTTACGATTATCATTTTAACCTTCGGCATGTACAGAAAGCAAAACTCTTGACAGTGTAAAATATCGACGAATGCGAAATTGTGAGTATAATTTATTTTATTTTTTTTTTTTTTTGAGGCTGCAATAAACTGAAAACATAAATCAAAACTGTGAAAAAGTCTTCCACGTGTAAAAATCATTAGCGATTCGATATGTTTTGCTGATCGTTAAAATAAGAACTAATGAACATAAACTTCGCTTGGAACAAATCAATCAAATAAAGTTTCGCTATAAAAATACATGTGAAAGAGAAATCTCGTTTCACACTGCGTAGAGTGGAGTAGCATTAAAAAACGTATTATAAATTCTTAAAAAAAGAAAAAAAAATAAATAAATAAATGTCCAAATTATTGAACTACTTTGAAGTACTGTTCGTACATCTGCTTCTGTTAAGCGGTGAGTCAATTATTCTTCGCACTCGTACGTTAATCGACCTTTCGATATATTTCAGTAAAATGGGTGACAACACAGGCATTGCAGCATAAAAGTTTTCCTTGGCAGAATAATGATAAGTTTTTCAAGCTAAATTTCCGAACTGCTAATGATGTTTTACTGCAAGCGGCCTTAGACCGCCTTAACTTTAACATAAAAGCAAACGAATTAGAGTTAAATCGAAGAGTTCAAGCGATCAATAGTCTTTATAACGAAGTTACCGAATGGGCTCGCAATGAATATCAAACCGTGATTGATTATCAGAATAAAATGTGTCAGGACGAACAACAACAACCGATATATCAAAATGAATTGGATGCAAATGGTGATAGGAACGGTGTTGAAGAAAAAGAAAAAATGGTCATTGAACATGAAACGGAACAAATGCAACCGCATGGATCGGATTTAAATGAAAATCAACTTTACGATGATAGGAAAGAAGAAGAGGAAAATGAAAAATTACAACAGAGTAAATTGGATTTAAATCGAGATCAGGATTATGATGATCAGATTGAACAAACGAGTCCTGACTATGAAGACGAATTTCCGCTTCAGGATAAATTGGGTTTAAATCATGGCCTAGATGATGATCAGATTGAACAAACGAGTCCTGACTATGAAGACGAATTTCCGCTTCAGGATAAATTGGGTTTAAATCATGGCCTAGATGATGATAATGGAAGAGAAAAAGTGGATTTTGATCGCGACGAAGGGGACGACGAAGAAGAAGACGAGACTCATCAGCTCAAATCGGATACAAATCAAGTGCAAGGTGATAGTGGTATAGAAGAAGTTCGTAAAGTGGAAGAGGAATATGTAAATGAAAATCAAAAATTAGATTACGATAATTTAGAAAAGTTGAGTACAGAGCTACTGAAGCTTAGTGAGAATTTCAAAATATTAGAACATGAAATCGAATCGCATATGTTGATGATTGGAGAGCACATTAACGAATATCAGGCATCTTTAGGCAGATTGAATACTTTGGAAGAAGAGGTGGAAAATGAAGATGAAGATGAAGATGAAAATGAAAGTAGAGAGAGTTATGTGAAATACAATTTCGCATTCCGCAATAATTTGCATAACTTGCTAGAAGCAATCGAATCAGATATATCAAATTGGGACATCGATAAAAGTCAAAATTAAAAAAATCAGAAATATTTTTGAATGCATTCATTACTATTCGCAAAATAAAATTCCGATTATATAAGAGTAGCCGTGAACACTTCAAAAACAACTCATAAAATATTTATCCATTATGTAGTCTAAAATATATATTTTTATGTTTTATTAAACTTAATGGGTCATAATGAAGCTTTTTGGAGCTTCTTTTTGTAATCTGCTCTTTTTAAACGATTCCAAGCCTGCGCTACTTCCTGACAGCTTGCGTGCTGATCTTGCTCCACTAGTTGCAAAATTTTATCGACTTTTTCAATGACTGCGAGGTGTGCCCTTGACATCAAAATTTCCTCCTCCTCCTCCTCGTCCTCCTCCTCCTCCTGGGTCCTTTGTTCACTTTCACCATTTATGCTTTTTTGCACATGGCGTATTTCTTTAGATGCCTCACTCGAAAGAATTCGAAAATCATCGTCACGAAAACGTAAATTGATATGTCACATATTTTACAGGTATATTTGTTTGAGACAATCAGGGGAGTGTTGTCCGATATATAGGCGTCAACATCATTTCGCGGAAAAAAACGCGGAGAATATTCAATGTATCAGCGTGAGACGCTTAATTTATTATTTCAAAATTGTCACCAAAAATCCGCTGAGAAAACTCAAATTATTATAATGATAATAATGGTTTCGCGGGTACGTACGCAATATCTACAAAAGTTAATTCAAGTGTCACCTTTCGGTCGAACGATATTTTTTTTTTAGCAATCACTTAGCGAATATTCTCTATACGTGTAACACGGTGATAGTTTGAAAAAAGTGGGCGAAGAGAGAAAGGGACGAGCCTCAGACTGAGAGATGCCTAACCGACAGATAAGTGTTATGCTTTTTCCGACCGAATACCCACTATAGCTACAACCACACACTAAAAGTATGGTCTGCGGGACTAGGAATTGAAACCGAATATACCGGCAATACGATGTAATTTGATTAATATTTCCTTTAAACATCATATTATATTTCTGATGCACCTAATGTCGTGTTTTATATGTCAGGTGTCAAAGGGTTTTTTTTGAAATGTTTCCCACAGTCATCTGCGGTGAGAGTGGTAATAATTTCTGTATTCACGATGGTGGTGATTGGACGTCCAGCTATCACAACTGTCATAGGCCCGTTGTCGAGTTATTCGAATAGACAGACGGTTTCAGTCGTGATGACTTTCTTTTTTGTAGTCAGACTCGCAGGATACTGCGCCGAGTGCGTCCAGCCTAGCTATGCTTCGTTATTTCTGCTGTTATTATAGGATGTGCTCATAGCGTTCGACCATGTTTTCTTATCTTATTTCTTGTACGTTTACGCAATAGTTGAAGTCGATGCAAACGCACTTCAGTCTGTTAGTCAGTTTCACACTTCTTTCAACTTTTCGGTAAATTCATTGACCCTTATCACCAAATATTCCTTAGTGCCGTTAATGCAGAAAGAGTTTAAATACGCTCAGCTGTTATTATTCGGTCTAAGGCCATCCCTTATTTGTGTAGCACTAGTTCCCGGAACCTAGTTTCGTCATCAGGTTATTAAAATTTAAATATATCGTTATTTTTCAATATTCTCCATAAATTTGAGAACGTTTTTCCTTTCATTAAATGTGGTCAATCATATAGTTACTTCGTCCATTGCGACCTCACGCGATATTTTTCGAAAGTTTTACATTTTTGAAATTGTGGCGGAACAAGTTTCTATGATCTGCTTCTATATTCTTCCATCGGTAACATTAATGCTTTGTTTACAGTGGCGTTGTTCAATTCTATGAAACGTTCATTTGTGGGAGCGTTACTTAAGGCCTTCTTTTTGACTTCTACATGTTCGATCGATCCTATTCATCCTTAGCCTCATCAACGCATCTTTGCCCAAAAGGATGACTGTTTTTATTGCGCTCATTTTATGGGCTCGTTTTTCATTTCTTTAATTCTAGTAGACGCCCTTCGTTCGGTTTTTATTTTACTTTTCCGTTTCGAGCCTCACTTGAGATGAATACTCCGTAGCCGGAATATCAACTCAGTGTTCATCCAGTTACGATCTGTAGATTAAGATCAATTAATCTTATCTTCGTATTTTGCAATTTTTATTTTGTTGTTGTTTGCGTTTGCTTCAACCTTCTCATCTTCGGTAAATAATAAACCAGTGCAGCGGAGTGTCGATTCGGATATTTCTGCTCACATTTCATGGATCCACCAACTTTTTATGTATGTAATCCGCTTGGCTTTGGTGCAGTGTATTTAAGTTCCATGTTTTTCTTTCACCGCAGCAACGGCAATAGCTTCCGATTTGCACGACGGCAGTTATGTGCCTAAGGCTATTAATTTCTTCTTTGTTCCGTTTTTATGCCATAAACGGTTCGGACGTTTCCCGGGTAACTAGAGCAGCCAATACGACAAAGTCATGCAAGTGTTATCTGTGCTTCTATAATAGAGGTCCCAGCACAAATAAATGCTGTTCGTTGTATGTGGTCTCACTTTAGAGCTGAAGCAGCAATGCGAGTCTATGCGCCGTATGATTTTGCACGCTATGTACGCTAGTTGTGTAATGCATTGAATGACGGCAGCAGTAATGCACGATTAATACGCATCTATTGTCTTTAGCTTTTCATATATCTTCTGCTAAAATCGTTCTGCTTGCTTTACATATGCATCAAATTTAAAGTGGTAAATGTACTAATGAGTACATGGGTGTGCACTTTTTTACATATTGTTAAATTGTGATGATACCTGCTGGTAATCAATTGAAGCGTTCGCCTTAAATAGGAGCGAAGTTCGTTGACTCTTTGTGTTTTTGTATTCGTTCGCCTAACAACAACAAGATGTATGCGCCTAGTAACCAATGCACGATAATTTTGAGGAGTATCTCTCTGAACTGATGCACAGCTATCGGTGCAACAAGGTATAATAATGCGGAGGCCAGGATAATGTGTGCTACGGTAAATCCCGGCGATTAACGTATATGATGAGATGTCTAAGTAATTAATTGATTAAAAGGCTGTAATTAATAAAATCCTAGCCTATATATATATATATGTATATGTATATATATATATATATATATACATATATATACATATATATATGTATATGTGTATACATAATATGACGACATATAGTACGATAAAGATGTATGGTATGTGACTTAAAATGTCGAGAGCTTGCTTCCAATCATACAGACCATGACCATAAGCATCTTTAAGGCAGATTGTTGTTGTGTAACCGTAGAAATTGTTAGCTGGGCCATGAAAAATTTGCCGTTAGAACTACGGGAGATTTCCACGGGTAAAAACTTTATTTTTGTTGAGATATAAAAGAAAAAAACTAATTTTTTACAATTATTATATTATTTAACGGAACAAATCAGGCGAAACGTATTTTGCATAATAAAAACTCGATTTCCAATGAAATCTCGCCTCACACGTAGAGCAAATTAAATTGAGTTAACTTCAAAAGAAAAATTTTTACGAATCATTGAAAATGTTGAAATCGTTCAAGAGCTACCAAGTTTTCTTTTTACATTTCCTTTTCGTACAAGGTAAGTAAAGAAAATCAAAAATCGCATAGATAATAAATACATATACATAACAATGAAAATTGTCATATCTTAAGCGATTTGGGCGGAAGTTAGCGAAGAAGAAGAGGAAGAAGTATTATCGCATCCTATAGAGAAAGTTTGGGATAGAACGCAATTACAAGCTGAAATAGAAGCTATCAACACAAAACTGCAAATGGCTGAGCAGGAAATTATGGAGAGCACGGAGGGTCTTCGAAATATGTTCAATACGGTTCAAAATTGGGCAATTAGGACTCAAGCAAATGTTGTAGACTACGCGATAACAGTTTGCAAGTCGCAAGTTGCAGAAGAAGCGAAAGCAGCTTTTACACCCGAAAGTCCTACGGCATCTGTAAATGAGCAGCAGGGCACGCTCGATGTTGTGCAGCGACTTAAAGTTAAACTCAAAGAAGCTTATGAGAGTGCGTTAAATGAAGTTAACAAAATGGCCAACTAGTACACACATATATAAAAGTCACATATTTTACATGCATAGTTATGATAAAAAATCTATAAACATTAATTAATATATATATATATAGAAATAATATATAATTCCCTATAGTTAAATCGTTATATATATATATATATATATATAAATATGTATATATGTATATATAATAAAATAATAAAATAAATATATATATAACTATATATAAATATATATTAGTTTGGGGAAAAAGAAATCCATTATTTTTTCGGTAGATGGCTGCACTGATAGATTTCGCGTAAAGTATCGATCAAACAATTTCATATTTATGCTCGTTGGAAAGGTGGCATTTCGCAGTAAAAAAAATTCTTTTGCTGTTTTTTGTTTGGTGCATTCAGTTGTGAGTTACAGCGTGTTAAAAATGGAAGTGAACAAAGAGAAAATTCGGTACATTTTACAGTTTTACTTTGACAAAGGCGAAAATGCAAGCCAGGCGGCTAAAATTGTGAATGGTGTTTATGGTTCCGATACTGTAACAGCCAATTATGTGCAATTTTGGTTTCGTAGATTCCGTTCAGGAATTTTTGATGTTAAAGATGCACCTCGCACAGGTAGGCCGGTTGTCGAAAATGTCGATAAAATCGGAGAAATGATCGAAGTTGACCGGCATGTTAGCAGTCGTAAGATCGCCGAGGAGCTAAAAATCACACCATAAAACAGTTTTAAACCATTTACACAAATCTGGATTCAAAAAGAAGCTCGATGTTTGGGTGCCACACCAATTAACAGAAAAAAACATGATGGATCGAATTTCCATCTGCGAAGCCTTGGCCAAACGGAATGAGATAGACCCATTTCTTAAACGGATGGTGACTGGAGATGAGAAATGGATCACATACGATAACCCTGTGCGAAAACGATTGTGGTCAAAGAGCGGTGAAGCACCTCAAACGGCCAGGAAGGTTTTGCTATGCATATGGTGGGACTGGAAGAGGATTATTTATTATGAGTTGCTTCCATATGGCCAAACGCTAAATTCTGATCTCTACTGTCAACAACTGGACCGTTTGAAGATAGCGATTGACCAGAAACGGCCAGAATTGGCCAACAGGAGAGGTGTCGTGTTCCACCAGGACAACGCTAGGCCACACATATCTACAGTGACTCGCCAGAAACTTCGGGAGTTTGGTTGGGAAGTTTTAATGCATCCGCCATACAGTCCGGACTTGGCACCAAGCGATTATCATCTTTTTCTTGCATTGCAAAATTTCTTTAATGATAAAAAATTGGAATCTAGGGAGGATTGTGAAAATCGACTACTAGAATTTTTTGCAAATAGAGATCAGGACTTCTATGAGAGAGGCATTTTGAAGTTACCTTTAAAATGGCAACAAATCATACAACAAAACGATGCATATTTGACCCCAATCGGACAATCCGAAGCATGTTAAATAAAGTCCTGAATTTCATATAAAAATAATGGATTTCTTTTTCCCCAAGCTAATATGTAACTTTATAGTTATATATATAACTAACTATAGGGAATTTCATATGGCTCTCAAGTTTCCATTATAACGTAAGACTATTCAAATTTGCATTATAATGGTTATTCTACTTTCGTTTGCACTTTCGATTAAACAAAATCTGCCGTCAATTGGCAAACATTTCACGATTTAAGAACACCTGACATCCAAACTTTTTCACAAACTTCACTCTTGATCCCAGTAAACTTACTTACTTACTAAGTTAATCCGAATTCTTATATATTTTTTGAAAACTTTGAAACGTTACGCTTCATAATGTTCTCACGCCAATAGAACTGAAAAACGTTTATAAGCGTCAATACAAATACAAATTTATAAAAAAAACTGTTTTGCCGACAACGTGTATTATTTGAGGAAGGCATAGTGTGTTAGGGATTCTTAACGAATGGACTTATAGGTAAATATTTAATGAGCATTACAAATGTAATTTAAAAAAAACTTTCTATAATGGTATATAATATGTATAGAAAAATTATAGCATGTGCTTCATGGCAAGTGATAACAAAACGGAAAGGAGATAGTTTGCCACGGTATTAAAGGACATCCGTGAGAATAGATAATTTCGTTTCCTTCCTTCCTCCTATATGGAATCTGGTATTAATGAGGAACCAATAAGTAATTATGTTCAATTTAGAATCAGTCCTGTCTGCCCGCTTCTCATATTTCTTCTTTGTCAATGTGTATCCGACTCATTTTTATTTTAAATTTTTAAATGTAGGGTGTCCTAAAATTTATACAAGATTTGAATTTGCCACCGTTTGTGTGGTTATGTCTTGGCAAAGCAAAAAAAAAAAAAGACGAAAACCAGTTTGACAATTGACAGCTTAGGGCTAGTAAAAGTGGCGCACGCTTTTTCATCATTGAACAATTTTTCAAAAATAATGAGAGTTTGGCGTTCGCGTTGACAGTTCGCACATACGGTCGCAATATTGATTTAACTTCAAAGCAAAAAAGCATCCTAAGCGATGAAGCTCATGAAGAGTTCGTTTATCGTCAAAATTGCCAGATGTGATAGTCGAAAAACGAATACCTTCACAACGTGTCGCCGTATGGTATCGATTTTAGGCTGGAGGCATAAAGTAAAGGATAAAAGAGTGCTTATGTGCCAGCGAAGCCGTGGAGGTCATATACCAGCTGTAACCCTATCCTAGTTACATTATGATGCAATAAAAAGGTTACAAGTAAAAAGCAATTTTGCTCTGATCTTTATTTAATTGAAATCTGACGTAAATTTCAGCCAACCCTTTACGTATAATAAAAATTGTAAAATTCTTTCCGTCCGAATGAATCGTATTTGAATCTTAGTTTGTTGAGTTGAGTCAAGAATTTCAGTTATAAGTTTTGGCTGCTTTTACGGTAATGTAAATTGAGCAAAAACGACATACACCTCGTACATCCAACACCCCTTCGTTTAATGCAGTCGTTCGCTGGTTTTGGCTAATTATTATTACCTTACCATTGATGTAGCATGTAAGAAGCATAGAGAAAACTAACATAGTATGTGTGAATGCTTAGGATTCACATCTTCCGTGGAGTGCTCCAAATTCCTGTTTATTGTATAATTTCACTTAATTAGAAAAGCTAAAGCAGACTCTCCGTTTTTCATACTTTACACCACTTGTCTTACAAGGATATATTAAGTTTTGGGTGGATATATGCAACGGCCAGGACATTTCAAAAAGGTTCATCTTTCATTGTAACGACCGAGTCAGATTCACTTCCTGAATCTATTTAATTACGTCTATCCGTCTGTCTGTCGCTCCGTCTGTTCTCTCCTGTTTGCAAATATCCAGTTCGCAATTTTTGCCATATTTTGGCGAAATGAAATAATAAAATAATAAATTTTATCAACTATTTGGATGACTCCCATAGTGCAGTGGGAAGCTATGTGCTGCTGTTGTGTTCATTGCTTTATAAGAACTGCGTAAATGATACCTATGTCCACTTTTGTCAATTTCTCTCCATTTTGCTCTCTTCACTGCATCTTTTTCCTTTTGCCGCTATCTCTTCCTTCTCGCTCGAACTTGTCCTTTCCCTTTGTACTTTTTTTTATCTGTTTTCTTTCACTTTTATGCTTACGTAATTATTATGACTCTTGTATCACCACCAATTTCACTCTCCCCCACAATTCTTTACTTACGGATTCTCGGTCTTTTAATGGGAAAATAGATTTTCTTCTCTTCCTCCTCTTGCAAAATAAATAAAAAAATGTGAACGTAAACGTGTACGCAACCGGGTCAAAGAAGGGGAAACCCGCTATTACAATCCCAAGTATACGCGTAAAAAGATTGTATCGGTCAGCATTAATATTAGAAGAGAAACTCTATTTAACTTCTCAGGTCGAACGTTAGCTAAAAAGTTTAATTTTCTATTCTGAAGAATTTTCTACGTTTATCATTTTCACTTTTCATTTGATGCCTTGATTCCATAGCTTGATTAGCATCGACGATTGTATACAAGTAAATAGGTATCTCCTCTATTGGGTGGGGTAGTGTCTTTCGATTCTCAGTCCATGTGGCGTAAAAATCATCATACGATCGATTCAATTCCATATTTGCATTTTCTGGTTTATTCAGCACTTCGTCATTTATGTTGTATGCGTTGTCGCCATCTTCTTCATCACTATCATTATTAGTTGCAGCTTCAGCTACTATAAGGGTGCTTTCGCCCTTACTGTTATTATCTTCTTCTACTTCGTCTAGAAGCGAGGCGAAACTCTCTAAATTATCCATGCCATGTAGAACAAGTTCTTGATGAAATATATTGGGCACTGCGACGGCCTGAACATCCTTATAATTGGAAATACCATTTGGGGTCGGTATAAAATGTGCATTATTAGGTATATTATCGGTAGTATAGACCGGTACAAGCTCTTCTTCATTTCGTTCATTCGATCTAAGCAAAATCAGAGATATCGGTAGAACTTTTTTCAATTTAAGCAAAATCAACTTTTTGATAGCTGTAGCACCCGGAAAAACACGACCTTTTCTTACCGTCGAAATTTCATTTTCTTTAATCACATTCACTTCGTCATAGTGTCGGGGCACAGGACTGCCTTTAACATTAAGTAGTAGTAAGACATAAGATAATTTATAATTATTTTTTTATTATTGAAGCAATTGTGTTTTTTATTTACTTACCAAGAACGCAAATCATCAGAGTTACGTAAATTAAACTGAAGGTACAACAATAATTGCCCATCATATTCATTGTGTTTTGAACGAATGCGAAATATCTAAATGTCTACACGTTGACTTAAAAATTTGAAGAATGTTTGAATAGAATATCTATAAACTCAGTTTATTTATACGTCGTGTAATTTGACAAAATTTATATAAAATTGCTTTAATTTTTCGAAAAAAAAATAAAAATTTACGTAATGAAAAACAAAAACTTATTTCACTTTGACAAACATTTTATGTAAATTTTAGCAATTTATTTGTATATTATAGAGATTTCCATCTCTTTCGCGTTGATGGATAATGAGAAATTTATGTTAATTTCTTACTACACTCTCATGCACAGAATTTATGTTAACTTCGTCACACTGCATGCGACACTTCCAATGAGACTTTAAAGATCGTATCTAATGATTGCGCAATGCCAAATTTTGCTCAGCTGAATGCTTGCTCAATGGATCGAAGTGTAAACGAATAAATTCGATATCACAATCTTGGTAATTATTCCAGAGTGGAATAACCGAGCCGACAAAGCCTTCATAAAAATCGAGCATATTTTTACTTCAAGATGAGATTTTCATATTAGTCGATACAGTCAGTCAGTCAGACAGTCAGTCAGTCAGTCAGTTCTATTCCTCGAGCCAACGATATGTAATCAGCATGAAGTTCCGAATCACTTTAATCATTAATCGTTCTCCGCACTATACCCCAAAACTATACTCGCAAACTGTGTTAATGCCTGGCTAATGTAGTCGCAACCGTGCCTGTGCTATTCCCCATTCTTTTCTATCGGATTATGTTTCCATCTCATTCTGTTTGTCTAGCAGCCATAAATGCATACACGTGCCAAGAACGCCACAAATTATACTTATATACTAATTCAACCTAAGATCCTGGCTTTCAAGTTACTGTTGGATATTAAAAATTCGCTTCCAGACACAAATGCTTTTCTCGTTTCCTTATAAATGTTCATTTTTATTGTTATTGCATCTTCGCATTTATATGCTGTGCTAACTATAAAATTGTACTGCAACGTTGAGTTACAGAAGCTTGCGTTTAAATACCAATTATTTTAATCATAAGTAGACGGCAAAAATTACCCTGAAAGAGACTGTACATTTCCTTTTCCGCTCAATATGCGAGGTCATCTTAATTATAGTACTATAGTACTATATATATATATATATATATATATATATATATATGTCTATTTAGTTTAGTATATTAAAGTTATCAAATGGTTTTTTTTTTCTTTTTTACGTAGAGAAATATCTGTTGAAGATTTCACAAGCAATATATATATATGTATTATGTATGCAGTTGATCGATGTGACTAGCGATGTGAATACGATTGACCGACTGGTCAGTCTGTTGAGATCTTATAAAGCAGGGATTTTGATCTCAGAATTTTTCTCTTTACTTGCGGTTTCCGGGCTCAACTTTACTTGTATTGTGCTTCTTCTTCACATCATGGATCCAAATCTTTATTTACATAATCTCCACATTCATCTCAGTTTCTTCAATTCGATGAAAATCTGATCTAAAATATTTTTTATAAATATTTTATTATTGTTACTGTGTTATTGTTATTCATTTAGCCAGAGAAATAAATTCTTAAAGCATTCGCATCTAAGGCTATCGGCGTTACTGAAAACTCGAGTCGAGATCCTTTAGCAATTTGTAAACGTGAATTTGCAACAAGTTAGGTTATATGGAAAATTCAATGTAAACCCAATTTACTCTGCTTACTGCTTGAGTTGAGTTAAGCTTTTCGGCAAAAACATTTCCTTTTTATTAGCTTAATAGATCCTTCGAAAGAAAATCAGTACCTAAACAAAAAAACATTTTCCCGGCAATTTTTTTGGGTCCTTCCCCTAGTGCTCGAATAAGAGTGCCTGGGTCAAATGAGACAGTGCTGGGAAGTTACAGTCTATGGTCATTCCATGATGATATCTAACTTCTCCGATCTGCTAACAAAGATATGTTACCTGAATTGCAACGAGACGATCGCCTAACAGCGATCCGAGAGGGGAAAGCAGTTTTTGCAAACAAACTACAAGTTAACAATGAGTTCGACGACTCGATTATACATTTTCGTGTCATTTTCGCTATCAATTCGCAACACGATTCTGATTCTGTCTTCGACAGATGCGCACCGTACGGGTGCACTTTCGAACATACAATTGTCGGGGAGTTAGAATGAGGAGGCAAATGTTTGACAGACTAATGGATGAAACCCATCATCTGAATCTTTCCCGGTGTTTTCAAACTAACAAACAAACAAAGAGAAATAATGCAAAAATCTGAACATTTTTTATTAATAAAAAAATTACGTTTTCTGATTAAAAATTGGCCCATTTCACCTAAATATTCGCCAATCACACAAAAACCAACCTTTTTAAAATATTCTACGTAGATTATTAGGTGTGGGTGGGTAGGTAGATTAATGAGTGATTTTTTGTAGTTTTTTTTTTTTTTTTTATTGAAGTTTACATCAGTTACACTGCGTGCGCTATAGAGCCATTTAAACTAAAAATACATGAATGAGTGAGAATGAGTGACAATGATTCCGGGGTTGTCATCTTTTAATATTGTCCAGGAGAATTTTTTTTTTTTTTTTTTTTTTTTGTTACTTAAATGCAAATGTAGACAGTAGCCTCCTTCAATATTATTGTTCTTGTTATCGCCTCTCCTTTCATCGTAAAGGAAAAAATTTCAAAAAAATGTTGTATGTATGTATTTTTTTTTTTTTTTTTTTTTTTTGCTTTCCTCCTCCCCTTTTTCAAACAGCTTAGTTTTTTAAGCAGCCGTTTGCACGATTGTAACCTTTCGGCTTAAACCGATGTAATTTCTATATATATTTTCTTTTTCATTTTTTTGGGTATTTAATAATTAATAAGTTTCTTCATTAGGTTTGAAGAATTTTCTAGATAAGGAGAGAGAAAGAGTATGAGTTATAAAATTTAACAACAAGAATAATTTAGGTCAAGTGAAACGTAAGAAAGCTTTAAAGATGTATAAATTTGCACAAATTTAAAAATGTTGCCGCTGTCTTTGGGCTTTTACTAGATTATCAATTATTTATAGTGAGATAAGATGTAGCAAAAGGTGAGAGGCTTTCACTGTCTGTCTTTCCACGCTGGGGATTTTTCTCTTTTATAAAATCTTGTAAGTTGTTCTCCTTTTTCTTTTTTTTTTTTAGGTTAATCGTTTCTTTAGGCGTTGAGCAATAAAAATTCGAATAATAAAAGCAAGTAAGAAGAAGAAAAAATAATATTGACCTTGAAGCGAATCTTAGATACCCATCGCATCAGTACATTATTAACAGAAATACTGTATTCGTCGTTTAGCTCTATTGAGGTTAAGTCGTTAATGTCGAGAAATTGCTCTAATATCGTAAGTAAGATAATATAGAATATTTTTTAAATAAACGACAACTAACGGCAAATTTCTATTACAAACAAAGTCCATCAGATTTTGTAAAAAAATTTGCAATGACGCATGTCCATGCTTCAATTACCAATTCGCCAAGAAATCCGTTAAAAATTGCTTTTTGTCAATTGTGATGCGTATGCGGGCTTATTAACAGTGGACCAACTCGGAGATAAATAGGCAAAGGGAAAGACGTTAATGAATTCTAAGTTGACTTAGAATGGAAGGCATACATGTTCGTGTATTTAATTCATATTTTTTGCGTGTTACATACGCCCTGATAAAGTTAATATACCCTTGTTATCCCTTAATGGGTCTCTGTGAGCGGTGGATGCAAACATAAACAAAACTTGATTTGCTCAATTCGCTGGAACATAAGATAAACATAACGACTGATTATATCTACAAAAAGTTCGTGGACGGTTCTATTCCTCTCATTTTCTTTCAACAGTTTCCGAATACATATACCAATAGATTCAAGATAGTTGACTCATATTATGGCAGCAAACGAACTAATCGAAAAGATTTCTTTTATATTCATCATTTACACCAAAGTTTTTTCGAAAATCTAATTACAAGAATTCTAAAAAATATAAAAGCCAACGTTTGCGAGAACGTTAAACCATTTGCAAATATATACCGAGTGTCAAAGCTGGCATTTTGGCTTTAGTTTAGAGCGTTAACTATCTTTCATTATTATTGTAGGAAAGCGTAAAATGAAAATTTGTAGTTTCATTATAATTATTTCGATGGCAGCCGTTACGGCTCAAGATGGATCGACGGCAATGGAAAAGGAAAATGGAAATATTTTATCTGAAAAGCTTACTGTTCCCTCATTTAATACATCGAATAGCGAAGGTAAGTAACATTGTCCGATAGATTACAAATAAACAAACAGTTTATAGAACGTTTTCGAACTTTTAGATCAAAACAATCAAGCGCCTAAAGGAAATGATTCTGAGAAAATAGAAACGGAACTGCTCTCACCAAACAAAAAACCACCTACGGTGACCGATTTTATTCTTCAACCTTTTATTGCCCTTAAGCCGGCAGTAGGTCAACCGCCATTTGGTGATGCTAAACAAGCTTCTACCTCACCGGCTCTTTCGCCGTGGTCATGGCTTGGCTTTGCCACTGGTCAAAGTTTGAATTCATCATTGAATTCGTGGAGAGATAGTCTGACCCAATGGTTACGTGTACCAATTCTATTGCCAAATTCGGCGGATACGCCTGTTAGCTCAGCTATCGCTAGTCCAGTCACAACGGAACAACCTGATGTAGTAGTTCATGTACAGCGTCGCCGAGGTACAACCAAAAGGCCTACAATTTCTATAGCCAACCAGAAGCTTCCTCAGCGACACAACAACAAATTTCCTAATGTTCTACAAGAAAATGATAACGGTTTTTACGATAACGACGATAATGACAGTTTCGATTCCAATGAGAATATTGAGCGAGATAATGACCAAGAAGAAGATAGTATTGAGGAATTAGACAATAAGGAAGATATTGAAGAAAATGATAATGACGACAACGACGATGAGGACAGCTACACTGAAGACGAATATGAGGAAGAAACGCAAAGACCGCAGCATCGACGACGTTACAAAGCTTCAAATAATAAAGGCAATGAAGCAAAAAGACGTAAGGATGAAAATCGTTTAAGTGATAAATTCCATGCCAGACAGTATTATCAACAACAGCAGCAACAACGACAGAAGAAAAATCCGCCGAAAAATTTAGAAAAATTCATACAGCAATTTATAGGCAGTCAAAACCCTGCAAGCGCAAGTTCCGGCAAACAACGCGAACAAGTTAAATTGCTGATTAATGGTCAAGGTCAAAAGTTATATCTACTTGAAGAAGGCACGACACTTGATACCGCTTCAACACCGATTAACTACATAAAAAAGCCGGCACAAAATAGCGTAGAAAATACACGACCTACTACATCGTCTTTACCCTATATATATATTAGGCCGGTAGTAATTGGAATACCTCAATTCCAATTTCCTGAGCAAGCGGTCGAACAAGATTATGAGAAAACACCGTCTATTCGACCACAAACCGTACAAGCATTACCTGAAGATTCGTTATATAATATTTTTAAAGCTACAAAGCGACCATCTAGCGTGAGGCAAAGGAAAGTTGGAACGGACGTAATGACATCTCGAACTAAAGTAGAGAAACCAATCGCAACGGATACCGAAAATGATTTTATAGTAGTAGGCGATGATTCAGAGCCAGGTCTAGGCAGACAAGCTTCAGAAAATCGTAGAGGATTAAAAATAGGCTCATTAATGCAGAGGAAAAGAAGGAAAAATCATTAGTGCAAATGAAACTGAAATCTCTTAAAATGAAATTATATAATATTTATGTACAATTGTAAGCAATAAAGATATATGTTATGTATAAGAGAAATTTTTTTTTTCCAATTAATATAATAAAGTATTAAATTTACTTTCATTATTTAAGACTTAAAGAAATCCTAAGAAGCTTGATATCACTTTCCCAGTATGGGCGGTAACACTGCACCAATTTTTAAATATGAAAAAATTTATCATCAAAATTCCAGGGCGTCTTTATTCATTACTCTTTTTCTTTGACTAATGTGTAAATATAAAAAAAAATCTTACAAAAAATCTTATGGAATATATGACATTGAAATTTCACCGAGTGACCCTAAGAAATATGGGAAATATGGGTGGCACGCCCTAGTTTTACTTTTAGTTCATTTGAAAAAAAACAAAGGAATTTCTGAGGCTTAGCACGTATGAGCGCTATCGACAAGCGGCTAAGCATTATGCATATCCACGGCTTACGTACTGAATACGTTTCCATAAAAATGCCCAAGGACAAAATACACCTATCATCGTTGGTTACGTCATTGATTATTTTCCATTTATAACATGTAAAAATATGTCGCCAAATCTCCACCTTGTATATTTCTGCTTCATTCGCTCAAGGTTACGCGTTAACTCAGCTACGTTCTCTAACTCTCGCCTGTCGTTAAAATATTCGCGCTCAAGAATCGAGAAAGAAGCTGATATTTGCTGCGTGCATTTTTACTACACTGCTAATGCTTGTATAGATTCCTAACTGAAAAAAATACTCCCCAAAGTTTTTTAACCATGCCCTAAGGTGACGTGCATTAAAGGTTTGTTAACCTGTTGTCTCTGCTCTTGGTCAATATGTGTTTGATGGACGTAATTACTTTTTACTCTGAAATCCAGGTATATTTAACCATTATAGTCCTGTTTTTGATATATATCCACTGGTATGATTTTCTTTTGAAAAACATTCTGGAAAGCAATTAATATAGTTAAACGTTATACCCCAAGAAATGATTTCATATAAAGGATGTCCCAAAATTTATGCAAAATTTGAATTAAATAGAAAGCAGAGTTAATTTTTATACCCATCACCTAAGGATGAGGCCATGTATTCTTGATTATCGTCAAATTCTGCATCTTTTTAAGCATGTCCTTCGAAGTTCTTGCGCGCAGGTTGGCATTGAAACTGGGCCACCCATTGCTATGTGTATCAAAATTTAAATTTTTTTTCAATATCTTTATAAGGCACGGAAAAAATCTGCAAACACACCATAGAGTATATAAATTCTTGGCCAGTTTTAAAGTTAGAATGAATCTAAACATGTCTCTCTGTTCGTCTGTCCATCTGTCTGTCTGCACAGCTGTGTAAGTATTCTCCCGCTCGCGAAAATAAAGTTATCGCCTGTAAATTTGCAAAAGAATTTCGAAGAAGAACTTTTCCAAAGACGCGCCTGCACCGCCTACACATCTAAGCGATAAAAACTCTTGTTTTGAAAATAGAAAAAATCAGTCGCGCCCATTATATAGAGGATGAAAATGTAGTTCTTTTACTTTGTATTCTGCTTTAGGACATCAGTGATGGGTATAAAAGATTCGATCTCGATTGAATATAATTTTCTCACTTGATTGCAAATTTTTTCTAAATCATGTATAGAATAACACATCGGGCACATGGTTTCAACGACTTTGCTGCCGCATACGCATTCTCTTATCGAAACTGTGATCATCGAAACGGGTGAGTACAAGGCCAGGGAATGTCTCATGCAGTAAGTGTATTTTTTAACAGGATGTATGGGATGTGGCGTCATCTTGCTCAAACTACATGTCATTCACATCAAATCGCCACCTAATTTAGGAAAAAACCACTAGGTCATCATAACACGATTTCGAGCGTAAGTAACAATCGTTGCTCGAGTAGCTCGAGTTCATTTTCGCGCGTCTCTCCCTCGCGTAATGCGAACCCTAAACTGTCGGCCGTCAAATTATTTTTTTTCGTTTTGGTTGCCAACATTTTTATGGCGGCAAATTCAAATCTAATGTAAATTTTGGGACACTCTGTCTTTTACTTTAAGCATCAAACACGGAAGAAAGCGTTCGTATGAATGTAAAAAGACATCTTCACAGCGCATTAGCGAAATATATTTCAGACATAAACAATTTTATCTACAATTAATTCGAATCTCAATAATCTTCTAAGCTTTCATGTTTAAGGCATGCTATGGAGAGAATACCATGGGAGCTTCGGACTGACTTCGAGCTGACTTTGAGGATATCCTTTGATTAAAAATTTACTACAGCACATGCAAAACTATATGCAATGACTTTTACTGTTCTTATGTACTAAAATATTGCTCAATAAAACAAACTCAACTCTATTGACATAACTTCGTGCACCGATTTATTCATGGTCGTCTGCCGTTCGACGTTGAAACTTAATTTAAATCACCACGTGTCAAAGAGTGAGATAAACTTGTATATGAAAAAAAGAAAAAACGATGTTGCAATATTTTATTGTTATATCGGATATCGATTCCAGGAGTTGCCTGAAAGTTCGAGGTTAATGCCCGAGCTGTTAACCTAACCTAGAATTAACGAAAAATCTCTAGTCCTCAATTTACCTTAAGACTAAGAATATATCAATATTTATACAATACACAGCTTTTAGTACAAAGGTATACTGTATGCCAATCGATTCAGTATCACTTGCTGAATTGATTCAGGCTTGCCTGTCCATGTGCCTATCTTGGTTTCTTATGTTCAACCTACAGATCGTAATTTTCGATATTTATTTATTGCGTATACACTTTGGAATTGCATTTACAAAGCATGGCTGTAAAGACGACCGTATAAGTATTGAAAATTCGACCACACTCGAGATTTGAATCCGTTACAATTAAGTTTTTAGTTGGCGTTTTTAGCTTACTCGGGTACTCGGACGGATAATAGTTGTCAACATATTATTTATAGGATCGCAAGTGTCGCAGGAATTGCAAGAAACGTCCCATCCAGCACTCGTTCCTGAATGACAAGTGCACGTGAGTGCTCCGGACTTTTGCCTAAAGTCTCAAAAATGTCGAACTGTGCCTTTCACGTGAAAAAACGCAACAACAGAACAAGCAACAGACAGGCAGTCATTTTTTCTAATCTACGAATATTATTTTTTGCGAATGATAAACAAAGAACAACACTGGTTAAAATATGTATTAAATGCTTATTTTCTCAAAGTTGTTGATCAAAAGGTTGCTTAGGTTTTTTCTTTGCGAACTAATTTACATATATCATGGGGGATATTGAACTTGATAGCACAGAGTTAGGTTTTTTGCTTAACCTAAATACTTTCGGATAAATAAGAAGACATTTTTATATTCGCAAAGAGAAAGCTAATCTTTTGTTTAACTTTGATTATCAATAATATTTAAACTCCTATGTGTTTTTATTTTTTTACATTTTCATGCTCAGAACTGAATGCGGACAGAATGCTAATTTTGTCATCTCGTTTGTAACTTACTGAAAACTGCATAGGGCGCGAGCAGATTTGTGAACAGGTCCAGACAGATTTTGATGGCAATTTTTAAAATTCAGACTGATGTCTGAAAATTGACTTAAATGTCCAGTTGACTTCTATGTATGTTCAGTGTAAAGAGATGATCTGTATAACTTTCATAAACTTGTCTACTTTCATTATAAGGCAATTTCTGACAAATTTTGCGTAGATGTCTCTAAGGGTCTCATGATTACTCCCTCTCTCTTTCTTTCTTTCACTTTCTTTCTCTCTCTCTCTCTCTCTCTCTCTCTCTCTCTCTCTCTCTCTCTGTATCACTCTCTGTTGGGTAACTAAGATTCATTGCATGCCGAGTAACTTTTCTTGTAACTTGTCTATATTTTTGCGCAAAACTGAAGATCATTAGGAATTTTTATGTTAATTATTTATTTAATGCTTCGATGGCAAAAGTTAATATAAAATCTTGGGCTTTACAAACCTCAAGGCGCATTACGTTTCAGCCAGTATCGCGTTCAGCTAGACTGAGAACAATATTAAAGAAAATGAAAAAAAACGTATTCCTACTTATTGCGTTATGTGTCTTCTTTCGTTGGATAAACGCTTCGACAGGTTAGTAAATTTGCAAACCTTTCTACATTATAATCATTGAAGTATAGATACGCAAGCAGCTCCATCTGCTGCGACTCTATCGTTGAAAGGTGCTGATGAAAATCAGCAAGCTAGTCAGGATCATAATGACACCTTTGAGAAGATTACAAACTTTGACAATGAAAATGAAAGGGTTCCCGATAAGGCCGACACAGGCGCAGGTATCGAAGATGCTGAGCTAAGGAAAAATCCAGATATTCATAAAACAGTTTCTGATTGCGAAAAAACCGATCCTTCTCAGTGCGTCGTTACTAATCAAGAAAACCAAATCGTTAACACTGCGAAGGTTACTAAACCTGCTAAGGTAATTGGGAACGTATTTGTGAAATGAATTGAAGTCAAAATTTTCATTTGTTCTCTCACCAGCAACAACGACTTTCTAGATATCTAATAGCCTTTCATAGACAAAATCAACAGATAAATGTTCTTCCAGCGGACGACGACAATAAAGAAACTGTTACTGTGCGGAAGGCTGAGGAAGGGCGTGCATTACGTCAGCGACAACGTAGTCGTCGTCGTAATGCCAAAAACAAAACTACACGGCTTAACGATAATAATAAAACCATCACGAGCGGTAAGAGAGCAGCACCGAAAAAACATTCAAATCTAAAAAGTTCCGCTAAATCGTCGAATGTTAAAAAATTTAAATCAAAAAACAGTACAAAAAGTCATCGTAAAATCTCCAGAAGCGCTAAAAACAAGCAGCCAAACAAAGCTCGAGATTATAAAATGAAATCAAGCACTAAAACTAACAACAAAAATGGATTAAAACGTGCATCGCCTGGAAAACGAAATTTGAAAAATAATAACCAAAACACTGGTAGAGGTAGCATTCAGGAGAGAAAAAATGATGGACATTATGCGAAAAAAGACGATTTTGCTCCCGTTGTATACATGGTGCCCGTTTAACCTGAACAATTTACATTAACATAACATAGTTTTAATCTCTACGCTAAGATATCTACTTCTATATGTATATTTATTAAAAATAAAGACTCATCTAAAGGAATTATGCAGAAAGACACCATTGGCACGTGACACTTCCCCTTTGCATTTTTTGGTGTTGTGAAAGGCTCTACTTCTACGCAAAATTTAAAGTGCAATTTTTTATTCTCTTTCCTGGGTTTTGAACGCTAAGTATTAGGCGCATGTTTTCGCTTGAGGCAATATTTAGCTTTCTGTTTATTGAATTCATTGCATGGACCTCATATTTTAATCCTTTTTGCGACTTTAATTCGTTTTCTAACTCAATTTGAAGCCTGTCTTACAGTCAGTGCATAGGTATTTACCTATAGCTCTGAAGAGCTGAAGTTGATATTGAGTATCAGTCTTGTAAGAAAACCGATTGAAATGTAATTTGGATTTGCGTTAGTTATAGCCGTTCGGTGCTGTTTTCATATAAAAACTCTATTTAAGAAATTCTTGAGCTAAACTTCATCAACAGCAACCAACTGTAGATGGAGTAGAAAAGTTGATAGAACTTGCAAGTAAAAACACTATAGTCGACAACGATCCACCATTGAGCCCCTTGCACCACCCTATCGTTATTCATAGATCGACTTTTCAAAAGGGGACGTGGCATGGGCAGTGGTCGAAATGATCTGAACAAATATCAATCGCGTTCATCCTTGAACCAGAACACAAAACGTAACCTAAAAATTTCCTCATCGTTACCTTATGAACTATCTGTGGGGCTTTTAGCATTAGTAGGCAGTACGTGATCGCCAAAAAACGCGTTGATGTAGTTCGAAAGTTTCTCATTGATTTGGACTATCATGGTTTTGAATGTCATTCTGATCGGATGGATTATATGTTACAGTCATCAAGGATTCGAAGTGATGTTCACGAAATGATGCGCTTCCATATCTTGCTACTTAATTAAAGGGACTGAGAGCAAAAGTTTGTAGTCAAAAACTGATGTAGTAAAGCACTTTAAGAAAAACAAAAATTATTTTAACTAAGAACAAATAAAACCACTATAGAGGGACACGGCCGAAGATTAAATACCCTACACCATTTCATTTTATACAGCTACTCATATAACTTCAATATGTATTGTACTGGATGTAGTCGAAAAAGTGGTCCCATCTGAACCGTTTTTAGCAGTGCTCATTCTTGGGTCAAAATATTTCATTGTACGAAATTTTCACAAAATATGCTCAAAATTATTATACGCCTGAGTACCCGAGTAAGCAAAGAATGGCGACTAACAAATCAATTGTCGCGGTTTCAAATGTCGAGTGCGGTCGAGATTACAATACAGACGAGCATGTCATCTAAGCTATCCGCCTGCTTTGTAAATATATTTGTAAAATATATACACAATAAATAAATGACGAAAATTACGACCTGTACGTTGAACACAGGAAAACAAGGCGGAAGCACAGACACACATGCATCAATCGGTATAGTAAAAGTTGGATCGATCTCAAGCCCTTTTGACTGTTACATAAGTCCGCACAAACTTAATATGCGATTGTACCATGGGCTGTGGGGCGCATAATAACAATTTACGACTACCAGAAAAATTAATCTTACAAAGTATGCATGGTTCGCTAATTTCATTGGAACTTTTCCATAAGAATGGGGGACATGTAAATTTCAGTTTTTTTTTTTTATTTTAAAAGACCTACGTTTTGTCCAAGTTCTTCTGCATAAAGAATTACTACTGCTCTACTGCTCTGCCTACATGTATATTTTATTTAACTACTTTTGCCACATTTGACATTGTTCACATTTTTCTCTTTCAATTCGCAAAATGCATGGACGCATTAAAGTGGAATGTGCAAGAAATATTATTAAATACTTTATCCATCTACTTAAAGCTTCTCGATCATTCAAGGGAATAAACTCTACATAGTGTGAATCTCTAAGACGATGAAAAGAATTTGAAGACAACTAAATCGATAAAGGAACAAGATTTATTGCTAATAAGCAAGATTGTTTCAATGGGAATTTGTTGCATTGTGAGTTCAAGTGGAGATGTCGTGATGAACAAAATATGAAACACTAAATGGAAGAAGGTAAGCCTGTTGTTATTGCCGATGTCAATATTAATAGGAGAACGGAATATTTATCGATTGCGCGGGAATTACGCCTGTCAGATAGAATCAACGGGTCTCTGAAAATTGAAATAAAACAATCACTATTCATGTCAGTTGCAAATAGAGAGGAAATTGAAAAGAAAATTTTCGTAATATGAGAAAAAGTGTGAATAGATTATAGGCCGGCTAAGCAATCAACGATCGACCATTTGCCGCTAAGTCGTAAAATAAACTTTTTGATTGCTTAAATGGTAAATTCGAATATACGAGCAACAATCTCCGCATGTTGTGCAGAACAACTTGGTCAACGCTTTAATGCTTCCGAAGAAATTGAGGAATGACTTGTTTTATGGATTGTCCGAAACCATAGGACATCCTTCCATGTAGGGAAAAGCCTACTGGCGAAAAATGGAAAGAGATTGTTGCTGGCAAAAAATAAGATAATCAATAATATAGAATTTTATATTAACATATGTAACTATGTGCTTTCAATATTGAGTCTAAAGGAAGACAGATAGTTCTCTGGTTAATACAATCATCGAATACATGTATATAGAAAAAATATATGTAATTACGTTTTGAGAAACATTTTCATATGGTTATTAAAATTGCAGAGGGTAGCTCTCGGTAGACCACATACTATATTCAAGACTGTCGTGCACACCCATATGGCTACATATTATAATAATAAATGATTCAACTATGGAATGTTTACAAAATAGGATTGTAATGAAAAATGTATTCAATATATGGTCGTCATTGATAAGCCCAAAGAACGGATAATTGTTGCGATGTAAATGATTGATGGCGATGACAACGACGAGAAACACTTGACTCTGTGCCAGCGTCTTTAACCGCAGCCTTTTCCGTGTCAGAGAGGATACACCTAGTATTAATAACAATAGTAATAATGCTGGTATCTCGTCAAGCGGAATCATTTATCAAAATATTTGATTTACTTCCAAATTCGTGGAATTGTAGATACAAACATATTTGCATACTTAATTAAAAGAACAAAAGTCATGCAATAATATTCAAAACTAATAAACGTTGAGTGAGTGCAGTAGTATGACTGATTAATCTAATTAAAGTTACAATCGAGAGTGCAACGACATTGCGAGCGCGGAAGTACAATAATATTAGATAACGCATTACAGTGCAATGGAATTCTGAGTGCAATTGCAACGAAAGCGTATACGTAACAAAACGTAAAGCTTACAATGATGAGCATATAGGCATTTTTTTGCACTCTATTTATATATATATTGGTTTGGTAATTGTGGACGAGCACTGAGTCGATTTGCAAAATTTAACTACAACAAAACAACCAAAATGATTTATTCTTTGATAATTTGAGATAGGCACATGAGTTTATACAAATGCTTAAGACTTGGCATCCTTTGGTTTTCTAGAAGCGTTTCTAAGGTCATAAACCAATGGCCTAAGTCAAAGAAAACTTTTGACGCAAATGTTTCGAAATTTTCAGTTTCTCTCCTTTTATCGCTAACGCAGTTTATACTAGATTTATGTATATATATTTGTAATTATGGAATAGGTATATATTCCCGATCAGCATGATTACTGCAATTGATTGAGCTTCTGTATATCTTCTGTCTTTCGATTTGTTAAACACGACTTTATGATTCGAAATCTTAATCCTGATCGTCAAACTTCTTAATCCATTTACAAACTCCTCTACAACAACTTTCAACTTTTCAGCTTTTTTCATTCCAATAAACGGTAGTGACAGAAAAACCAAATTTTTCAGAAAATTTTACGTGCTTCTCTAACCGTCGAGACGTAGATTAAGTGGATTCACTTTGCACCAATTACTCTCGAGGCAGCCAAGAGCCTGGAAATTAAAATTAATAAAATATCGCTTAAGAGAAAGGCTACGGTGTTGCCATTTTATAATGTGCTCCAAAAATGATTTTCTTTTAGTTTTCTTTACTATATATATCCTTAACAACCAATTCGAGTTTTATTAATCTACCATCGATCCGTGCATTCCAAAACAATGGTCAAAACAAAAAACATGCTGTTCACTATGAAGCTTTGTACGCTCTTTTTTCCTATTCTCCTTCTTTCTTTTTCACTAAAGTAATAAATGTTTCAAACCTGAAAGCAACGTCACATTCTTGTCTGGAAATGTTTGGACTATGCGTTTTCATAGGGTATTTAGAACGAAATTACAGAATGAGTTGCACATAAACGCGTTTTTCTATTCGCGTGTCATACTCCGCCTGTGGTACAAGAATATATTAAGTTTGTGCGGATGTATGCCACAACGAGAAGAACTTGAGATTGATTCCCCTTTTATTATACTGATCGATTGAGGATCACTTTTTGAATCGATCGATCTTGGATCCAATCTACAGATCGCAATATTTTCGATATTTTTTGCCCAATACCGACGCTATTGAAAATGATTTGAATCGGACCACTTTTCCGTAATCGTTGTAGCAATAATTACATGAAGCGAAGTAGTATGGGACACTTAATGATGTGACCGTTGCCTACTATAATGTATAGTTTTGCTTGCTAATCGCTTGTCGTCTCAAAATGTATAACTTTTCCAACTAAACTTTGTTAGTCTACTCCAAGTTTATTTCCAAATTGTAAAAATCTTTTCTTTTTTTCTTTCTTTCATTCTTTTTGGTCGCGCACTTTCGCTATGACTCCAAAACACTTTTTTCCTAATATAGTTGCCTTTACTTTTAAGTCAAATCCATATTCATGATATTCTACTTTCTTTAGCTGCACATCCTCTCCTTTTCATTATAGATTGATTGGTTTTTCTATTCGAACTCTTTCTGCCGAATCGTAGACACTTTCTTCCGTTCTTGTTTCCCTTTTTTGCACAAGATTGATTGCCTCTCTAGTTAGATGAACTGAAATTCTTTACGCATGGCTCTTAATTATCCTCTTTGTAAATCTCTTGTCCTTAGTGAAATAATCACAACTCTTGCTTCGATATATGCGATGTTAAGGAATTTCATTGACTTCTTCCAAGCCAATAAATATTTATAGTTTTTTTTTTGCTTTTTTTTTTTTTTTTTTTTTCTAGCATAACCAGATTGCAGAGTATTAAGCAATAGTAATAAAATGAGGTTAACGATCTAGAATTTTTTTATGCTAATCATAATTCTAATTAATATTCTTTTGTAAGTGAGATCAAATTTTAAAATTCTGTCAATAGAATTAATTTAATAGCTTGTGAAAGTAGTAAAACATTAACTAAAACTATGGCTTAACTAATTAATGGCCGTTGTCCGATTGAGGTATAAAAGTTTGCAAAAGTCTTCCAAGAAAATCATTTCCATTCAAGTGCTTATCTTTGAACAAACCCTCAACCTAGACTAGTGTGATTAAAAGTTAAGCGATTCAGATTTGCGAAATATGCGTTTAGAACTAGTTTTACTAATTCTAACCGCTGTGCTCTCACAGCCGACCTGTAAGTAAACATGAATATGGAAAATTTTTTAAATATTTTAAAAATATGTAATAATGATAATAATAATAACAATAATAAAAAAAAAATGAATTAAACAAAATTCGTATTCGATGTAGATGGCCATGACGATACAAACCATGGATCTGTTCGATCACATGGCCGGTTAGCTGCGGCTAACCCAGCAAATCGTAATTTCAATCTACTTGACATATTAAGTCAGAAAGGTCTGGCAGGTCAATCTTCACCAACAATAGAAGTGATACAAAGCGGCGATGATTGTAACGATTGCGATGATGACGATTATTACGAATATGAGTATTGTGATGATTGTGATTACTATTGTGATGATTGTGACGATTATGACGATGAGGATGATATAGACGATGATTATTATGTAAATGACGAAGCAGGTCAATCGGTGTCAACTTTGCCCGCAGAGAAGGAACTTCATTTCCGTAATGAACGAAAGGAGAAAAATAGTAAGAAAACTCATAATCAGGATAGCGAGGATACGGATGATGATGATGATGATGATGATGATAATGATGATGATGACAACGACGACGACGACGGCGACGACGGCGACGACGATAACGATGATGCCGGTGACGATGGCGATAGTGAAGATGATGAAGAGCAATTAATAGACGATAATGAAGTCAGGGAAAGCGATTCAGAAAACAAAGCTACACAAGTCCAATCAAGTACTTCTCAAGTAAACCCACGGCAACAAATTCGTGATGAAGTGCAGGCTGTGTTGAATGCCGTACGACGGTCTGATATGCTTAGAAGAGAACAGGCTCATAGAAAACTCGTTAGAAGTAATAGTAAGTGCAAAGCAGAAGTAAAGCGTTTACGTAGAAAGCTAAAATACAAAGCCCATGCTCATCGACGCCGCATTGCTGCCGCTAAGAGACGAGCACAAAGAATGCGCAGACGTCGCCAGCAGAAGCAAAGACGTCGCCGAAATAAAACAAGAACTGTAAAGGTTAAGGCTTAGTATCTAAATAATATGTTAACGATCCCGGAAACAATAATAAATAATTGATTGATGAGAAGTTTTGCGTAACTGCGAAGCTTTCGTCGTTTGCTTCTTAAAATGAATGAAAATGTTTTTTCTGTTAAATAGGAAGTACTTTGAAGCATAAAAAATTCTTGACAAAAACATTTTTTTTTTTTTTTATTAAATGTAATTAAATTGCAAAAATGTTACTTCAGGCCCCCGGTAATTTCTATTGCCGCACCATTAACGTACGATGAACGATCTGAGGCCAAGAATGCTATAACTTCAGCAACTTCTCTCGGTTCACCCATGCGACCTAAAGGACATCTTTTTGCAACCTCATCTTTAATATGCTGCGGCACCACCGCCACCATCGGTGTGTTTATATAGCCCGGCAATATAGAATTCACACGTATACCAAATTTACCAAATTCTTTGCTGGCCACTTCAGTTAACGAAATGACCCCCGCCTTGCTGGCTGCATAATTCGATTGCCCGATATTATTCAATTTCGCCACAATTGACGAAATATTTATTATACTTCCGCCTGTTATTCCATTGTTAATCATCGCTTTAGCGAACTGTTGTGTAACTAGGAAAGTACCCTTTAAATTGACTTTGTAAACATCGTCATAATCGTCTTCTGTCATTTTTAATAAATAGCCATCACGCGTTATACCGGCCGAATTTACTACTACCGATGGTGTAGTTTTAAATTGTTGGTATATGCTTTCAACGGCTTTACGTACACTTTCCAAAGAAGTCACATTAATTTCCAAGGCAATAGTCTCTGCAAGATTATTTATTAAATTTCTAACTTAACACCAGAGAGAACGAACACCTGAGCATTTATATATTTCTCCTTCTAACGAAGTAAGTCAATTTGAGTTTTTTTTTTTTTTTTTTGTTCTAATGTGACACATATGAATTCCGCAATCAATTAGAAGAACAGGACGGATAAATGCATGCTATCTGCCATAAAGCAGATCAACGATGAACAAGACACTGAAGGAACATTGGAAATGTGAGGACAATTTTTTCGTCAATAACTTATGATGCCGTGAAAATATTTCCGAAAATATATGACTTGTATTTTGATCGATTTACAAACACGCCCACAATTAACAATAAGTTTTTCTTTTTCTCATTTACGTCCAATTTATTCATAGTGACTGAAGGGCTTGCTAGTAACACAAATATGAAATCGTAAATAGTTCACAGCAAACAGATAGAGCGGTTTACGCAAGCAGTAAACATAAGAAATATTTTTATGCTGTCTAGCATAAAATATGTTTCAGAGTTGCATCCTCAACCCGGAAACGTAAATAACGATCATTTTCATTTTAAATTTTGCCTTGCTTTCTCTATTTTCTTTTTTACACAAACTAGATCGAAAACGACAAGAAGTGATAGAATCAGAAACTCATTAATATACGTAAAACAAGGCATGCATAGACCACTACCCATTATTTAGCCGCTAATTATGGGCGTGAGCGCAGAACCTTTAGGGGAACCTGACAAATTTGGAAATTAAGCTTTTTCGGAACTATCTTCACGGGATGGTTAGTTATTGATGAAAATAAGGAAAAGTTGCCGTTCTTTGTTTTTCGAAGCTGCTGTAGCTTTTCGCCCATTCTACCATTCTGATTACAGACAAACTCATTCACACACTCATTGCCAATTCTAGGGGAATTTTATAAGCAAAACTGAATCAAAGGGACCGACTTTGGTAGAAATATGCATACATCACCAATTTCGCGTAAACTGGAAAGGATAGAAAAAAAAAAAACAAAAAAAAAATGAAGCATAGAATTTTTAAACTCTTCTCACATAGATTAAATTCATCGAAATCTTCTGCTGCATTACATGTTTTCTGAATGTATTTTTTAAAGTCGAAAGTTGAAATGAATCAATTTGACGTATTCGGTAAATCTAGTGTTAAGCCACTTCATTGGTGAAGACTGATTAAGAAACTCACCACCACCCAAATCTTTTGCTGTTTGTTCAGCGGCGTTGAGATTACAATCAGCAGCAATAACTTTTGCCCCGTAATCTTTGAGCAAACCACTCGTACTACGACCAATGCCAGAACCGGCACCTATATAGCAGATGGTGTTACGATTATTCTGAATAAATTTATTTTTATTTATTTAACAACTCACCGGTTACGAGAATTAATTTACCTGAAAGTTGGTTAGCCATTTAACAACTTGGCTAATATTTCTCTATGCAAATTCATTTACACACTTAACTAGCCGATCACTGAGCTAAGAACCGCAATACTTTCCAGCACGTAAACACAGAAGACAGTGTTGCCAAATAGTTTCTCATTTTATTAAACTTTATGATCAACTGAAAGAAGGATTTTTCTAATTCGCCGCATTTAAGTATTGTGTCTAATACGTACGTGCTGTCAGCTTACAACGTAATTTTTAAATTTCGGAATAATCAGCAACGGGAAGTTTAGCAAACGAGTTTATCGGTCGTTGAGTCGATTTATTCCTATTATTATCGTTTACATATTCGTTGTTTTTATTTATATATTCTGCTTTTTCCTTCGTGAGACAATATATGCAAATTGCAAATTATTGGATGGAGTTCAGAATGTGAATTCCTTATAAAAGAAGATTATCCGTGTCACGCAGACACCTACACCAGATAGGCTAGGTAAAAGGGCGAGTTCATTTAAATTGCTGGTAATGTCTACTAATCTCACTTGTGCCAATTAGATTTGATCGTAAACTCTTGTGGCTTACGTGATATTAAATAGTTCTTTTAGTAAAACGATTTCTTTTTCTAAAACGACTTTATATATAATACTTTGGTGTCGGTTTCATTTCTTAAGTCTAGAGGCGTTTTATTATTATTGATTAAGAAAAATTCATAAGTAGAAAGGGAAGTTGTGCCATCTTGACGTGACGACTTTGCCTCTAACTATGAACTTTCAAAGTTGTTTGTTTTCTTGTTAATGGTTAACAAACGCTTTACGATCACCGATATGAATACCGAAAAAAATCGCCCTAAAGTATGCTAATAATTTTTTTTTTGTCTTACTACACACCAATCTTCATTCAAAAGGTTTAAAATGGTAAGAAACAAAAAAAAAAAAAATTAAGTAAGAAAGTTATATTCAGTCATAACCGAACTTTTTATACCTCTCGCCGCTATTCAAAGAAATATTAAAAAACATAAAAAAAAAACAACTAAATTTCTATAATATTGAGTGGGCGCGACTGATTATTTCTGTTTTCAGAATAAAAGTGAAAATTTATCTGGTTAATGTGTTGTGCATTATGAGTAACGAGTAAACAACACTGAGAGCAAAGATGTTCACAGTTTTGGTTGCGTACGCATGTGAGTGTTGTAGGCGTGTTCGCTGACAGATTTGAGTCATTTTAAAATTTTCTTGCAATTTGGTAGGCGATATCTCTATTTTTGCGAACGGCAGAATTTTCATCACAGAACGACAGATGGGCGCACGAACACACGGACTTGCTTGCGTGGATTCCGAATTTGATACTCGCCCAAAATTTATATAGTTTATAGAGTTTTTGAAGCTTGCTACCGCGCGTTATAAAGGTTTAACATTGGGGAGGCAATGTCAATTTTTCTCATTCATCTCAGGCAAAATCTGTTCCGCTAGCCAATAATTTATTAGCGTAATACGTATAACTTGTTGCGCCTGATATTCAACAGGATCGCGGAAGTTGGTATTTGCTACCAGAATGTTACTAGTCTTTTAAAAACAAACAGTTACTTACCGTGTTTTTCTTGGGCATCGTAATTGATAGCTTCAGTTCCGATAATTATTTCGTTCGTTTCGCTCTTGTTTCAAAGCTTCGTACATTGCATTGCAAACTCTTATTCCTTTCTTCTAGTCAATCAAATTAAATTTTATTCATTTTTTTGTTTATTTATTGAAAAAAAAAAAAAAAACATTTACTTATAATCAACAAAATTGCCAGCATTTAATATCTTAAGCAAATATATTTGGATTTAGTTTTCTCAAATTTCATCTTTTTTGTTTTTATTCGTTTTTCATTTTGTGACCTTAAGTACTACACAGATACGGTACGTTTTAGATAGAGGAGGGGAATTAACTTAAGTAAGATTAAAGGTAAACTAAATTTATACATCAAATATTTTTGTTTTATTGTTCGTAAATATATCTTAAGTTAAAACTATCCTCTAAAGATACATAAACATATATGTGTTTGCATATACAAAACTTATAGTTATGGAAAAAAATATAAAATAATAATAAATAAATAAAGCACAAGAGATAGGTAGTTTAAAATAGAGAGAAATACTACCAGTCTCTTGTAATTTCTTGGAATATTTCAAGGAGATTTTCAAAGATGATCGTTGTTTGCGAAAATAAATATTAAATTTAATTCAAAAAATTTCAACATTTATTTCAAATTCTTTGTGTTTGTTTTCCTACTTATTTAGTTACTAATAATTTAAATACTATTTAAGCAATTTATTTGCTAATATTTAAGGTTTTTCTCTTTTCTTTTTTTATTTTCGTTATAGTCTCAGCCAATTATAACTAAATCTCATTTTCCGTTACAAAAAAAAAAAAAAAAAAAAAAATACAACAAAAAAACCAAAAAAAAATTAAAAAGTAAGCACATAAATAATTTCTGTTAGATTTTAATAAGACACTACAATTAGGTATTTGAGAGGTCTTTACAAACACCCTCCCCATCCCACCTCCCATAAAAAGCCACCTATTAAAAGTTATTGCTCTCTTCTCTACTTACATTTATATATATATACATGTATATATGTATACATATATATATATATGTATATATAGATAGCGGAATAAGCAGAAGTAACTTAATTGGAAATTTTTGGTTTCTTTTTTTTTTTCTTTTTCTTTTTCTTTTCGGTCACTTCTGCCTTTTGCCTTTGCTTTGTAAACTATAAAGACCGAGTGAAGTGTTCTATGGAAAAGAAAAAATAGGAGATCTCTGCTTACAATCTAAGCAATGGACACATCTTTCATTCGTCTGTATTTAATATTATGCTTTTATTTAGCCTTAAATCTATCAGGTACTCTTTGGCTTTAATTTTATATATGTATATATATGTATATATATATGTATATATATGCATATACACGTATATATATATATATATAATGCTAACGAATGATCGAATTTCTCTTTATTAAATTGTAAATTGTCAAGTAAAACATTTATTTGAATTGTATTTAGATCGCAATTACGGCGTTTATCTAATAATAATAATAATAAAAGCAAATGCAGGCATTCATCTAGGATTCGTTACGATTTCGTTTACATTTTTGTATTGTGTATTCTTGTTGTTGTTATTATTGTATACTTATTATGTAAATTGACTTAAAATCTATTTAAATGAACGAACATAAGTAGATTGCTAGAGTATGCCTAGTTTGGTAGCTAAAATTTTAGACAGACCTATTCTGCCTCGCCCACAGTACTACTCTTCTTTTGTTTTGAAAACTGTAAAGCGATGCCAGATATTCTTAAGCCTGCTTTAGGCTAGATTTATAAGCTTCTCTAAGCAGATTTTTGGAGTTTGCTTTTATTTATTTTCCTCCTGCAAGTTTGAATAATGGGATCGCAAAGCTGTGGCGTGTCAAGGGGTAAGAAAAAAAAAAAAAGAAAGAACTAAATACTTTACATTTTTTTTCTTTTCCGATTCTAAGCTTCCTTTTTCAATTTAGGGATAACGAGCTTCACCGTTTAGATAAAATATTTTCTTGTTCTTTGTTTTTTTGTTCTTACATTACAATTAGAGGAATTTCTGCAAATGTTTGGCTATTTGAAGATTTTAGGTTTTGCTTACACTCTCTCTCTCTCTCTCCCTCTCTCTTCCTTCCTTTCACTCACACTTATCATTATCTAGCTCTTTGTTTCGTTTACTGCATCCTATATTCTCCTTTTTGCTTTTATATGAGTTTTCAGTCTTTGTTCGTTTTTTTTTTTTTGTTTTTTTGTTTTTTTTGTTTTTTTTTTTTGTTTTTTTAAATACTACTTATTCGTTAACCATTTTAGACGGCAGTTGGTGGTGGCAGTAACGATGAGTTGGAGGACCGTAAATAAGGATTGCCATAAATGGCGCTGTAACGTGGATCAACGGCCAAAGCGCTAGCTGTTACAGCTCCATTTCCATTGGTTATGATGTGAGTTGAGGTACTTTGGTTACTGCAGCTGCCATTTGGTGATGAACTAACCACCGAGGCGGTGGTTGATTGTAAACTGGGCAATCCATTCTCTTGACGCATATCACGTGAACCTATAATGCTACCCGTTAAACTGCCCCCACCTGCGTTGGATAAGAAAGTCATAGGTAAGTTTTGCTGTTGCTGTTGTTGATGTTGTTGTTGTTGTTGCTGCTGCTGCTGCTGCTGCTGCTGCTGCTTTTGCTGTTGCAAGTGATTTTGATGATTATTTTGCAATATTGTGGAGCTGCCATTGGATTTTGTCGAACATGTTGTTAAGTATTGTGGTGGTGGACTGTAATGTGTAGTGTAATCATAGCCGGGTACGTAGCCGCCTGTGATATCCACTTTAAGATCACTATAGTTGGAAGTGCGATCACCCGGTTCCATCTTACATGTAACCCCACCATTCTTGGCAATCTGATGTTCGCTAATAACATCCGCTGGCGGTAATTTGTTGCGTTTTTTACACTTGAAATACACTATTACTAACACTGTGATAATCATTAATAAAGCGACGGCGGATATACCGCCAACAATAGTCATTAATAAGGGTACACTTTCTGGAAAAGATCAAAACAAGTTTGCAATGTAATAAAGAGGTCTTTAAACAAACAAAGTAGCTCAGCTTACTTTGTGCTTGTAAATTAATTTCAGCAACATCGTTCCCGTAATCATTGACTACCGTACAATTATATTTGCCGTAATGGTATGATTGACTGTCGCGTATTATCAATGTAGATTTAACACCACCCGGTATTGCGTCTACCAGTATGGAATAATCGTGGCCAGATTCTGAACTAATTTCATGACCATTAAACGTCCAAGAGACGTGACGAGCTCGCGGCACTGATGTAGCGAAGCATTCTATTCGTGCCGTATCCCCGACTAAACCGTATTGTACGCGCGCCGACGAGATGATGGGAGACCCTTTTAAATAAACATAAGCATCAGCTGAAATTTCTGCATAGCCGGGTACGTTCGCTTTGCAATAATAACGTCCGGCAGTTTCGTTACTAACACTGAATGTCAAATTTGGACTGGCACCCACCACCTGAGGAGAGAAGAAAACATTCTTAGCATTCTTGGCAAGTTTATCTTTTCTCCTCCTCCTCTCGCTCACCCTATCTATAGGATGCTGAATCCATACGATATCTGGCGTAGGATTGCCATCTACTTCGCAATTTAATGTAACCAAACTACCAATGTCTGCCTCAATGGAATGCGGTCGTTCCTTAAAAACTGGAGCATCTGAACGAGGACAAAACATAGTCTAATCTAAGAGATTCAGATTATTTCAGGTTTTTCAGAATAAAACTTACAGCTTATATCCAATGTTTCACTATCCTCGCTTTTGCCTATAGAATTTTGAACTTCACATTTAACGATGGCATCATGGAATTTGCGCGTAACGTTACGTATTACCTGCCAATAGAGAATGGCCTCGAATATAGCTAAATTATTTTTAATATCGGTAATGCTAAAATTATACCATTTCTGTTTTCTGGCCACCCACAATCGGTTCATCGTTGATATACCAACGATAGCGTACGTCGCTAGGATTGGCATCTGCTTTGCATTCCAAACGCACCATTGAGTGTTCTGGTATGCGGCCGTCTGCCTCAGCTCCACCTATTATTTTGACTGTAACTTTGGGCGCATATTTTACTTCTACTTTTATTTTAACCGAGCGATAAGTGCGATCAGCAGTATTCTGAGCTTGACATGTGAAGTTCGTGTTATGATATTCTTTTTTCGGGGTGAGACGTAAAACTGATTTCGCCGTAAATCTTCTTAAATCCGGTAGAGGGATAACATTGTATTCTATATTTTCTGCTAAAACGTTACCAAAACCGTCAATCCAAGTTATTTCTGCTGGCGGTTTTCCACCCATTGATACGCATTCGATATCCACCTTACGATCTTCAGTTGTTAGAATAACATCACCCTGAGGGATTTTGGGTGCTTCTGGCGGCACCAAGACAGTAAGTTTAGCGAATGTCGAACGCACTGCTGGCTGACCTTGAGGACCAGGACTTACTTGGCATTGATAACGGGCATCATCATCCAACATAACCGGGTAGATATCTAAAGAATAATCACCCTCTTCATCACTGCCTATCATTGAATATCGTTCAAAACCGGCTAAATCGCGCGAAGTACCCAAACCAAAATCGTCCTTTGTCCATTGCAAAACACCTTGTTTATTGATAACACGGCAAGGCAATGTGACACGGGCACCTACAACGGCAGTTTGGTCTTGAGGTTCCATAGCGAAACGTTGATTATGAAAATGAGTGAAGAAATTCGATGATTTAGCTTCGATTGAAGGAAAGACTAATACACTGTAAGTCAGAGCGATTAAGGATACAAAGTAACATAAATGCACAAAAGAGCCGAAGCAATCAACTTTAAAAAAAGGAGCCATCTTAACGAAATTGTTGACTTCTGATAATTTGTACATAAAAAAATTAAACGTAGACTTATGATCGCGAAAGAAGATCTGAAACGAAAACAGAAACAGAAACAGAACAAAACAACGTTGTAGTTAAGCGATAATTAATGATCAATATATTGAATAATTAGTTCTCCATAGGCAATACTCATATTTGTCATTGCTTTGAAAGTCTTAGTCTTTTCAAATTATTGGATACGAATGCAATTGCGAATAGCATCAGTGTTGTAAAGTGGTGCTACATAACGCGATAGTGCTATGAAACTATTTTAAAAACTGAATCTTTCCCAACGGAAAATCAACATGTATTATATATAGTCACATGCATAGCATTTAAAAATAAATATATCTCGAGCTACTATTACTACGAATGATTTAACATGAAATTCGATTATTACCACATGGGACGATGACTAAGATAGAACTGTTTATCTAGTGATTGCTTTTTAAAATTCAAAAGATTTTTATTGATTAAATTAACGATACTTGGCAGCACCTAACTATGTAAAGTATGTATGATTGAATTTGCTGCATAGCGACGGATATTAGATATTTGTATTGTCAGGCGTTTACGAAAGCCGCCCATTATGCCTATGTATGGTGAACTGATTTATTTAATCAAAGAATATTCAGTAGAAAATTGAAAATTTTTACAATCGGGTTCAATGGTGTTTATTCAATAGGAATATGATGCCTGAAATTAAGTTTAAAAACATCAACAAACACCCTAACGATAATGAAAAAATATCAAATAATATTAACTCAAGCGGTATAGCCTGAAATCGCATGCAGAATTATGCGAACAGTTCGTTACCGTTTGTTGCCCGGTAGACCGAGAGACAGTACAGGGCATAATAATATGTAGTAGAAGATTTCAGTTTTATTTTTTCATTTGAAATGTTGGTTCATATCATTTTTAAGCTCTCATTGGACTTTTGAAGAAATTCCTTTCTGCGACACAAAATTTTTAGCCACATTCTCGCATAAACCAGCTCTTATTGCATCAGTAAGACGAACAAAATTATTGAGGTATTATTTACGAGGTATTAGATTTAAGATCATTCTAGGCATAAAAGTCTTGTGCAACTCTATCAGATGACCTTTCGGACAAGCGGTGACAAACGCATTTCCGGAGTTTACACGATCATTGAACTCTTCCCGCAATAAATTCATTGATGGCATGTTGCACAATATTGTTGATACCATATATTGGTCAACTCGAAATCATTAATTTTCGCCACCCAGGGAAAAATCACTTATTATGTTTCTCTAGTGTTCGTTATTGTCGGTCAGTTTGTGATTCATTTGCACTTTGGCTTCATATTACTTTGCCTATCTCCTGCATATATGTTCAGTATAATGCGTCAGGAATGCGTCGTTTACCAATCGAATAAGTTGACATGTAAACAGTTTCGACTTTTGTCACTTGTATTCATTGTGAAAAATAAAATTTTTTATTTTTTTTTTATATTTTTTTTTTATTAATTTCATTTATGCCTTCAATAATTATTTAATTTATTTCTTTGCACATCGGCTAAATACGTTTTTTATACTTAGAAGGTCGTATTCATTTCGCATTTTCATAAACTGCGCCACTTAAGGTGCATGGAGAATATATGGCTTGGGCGGATAAATGTAACAGCCAGAAGGACTTGAGATCGACCCATCGTTTACTCTATCGATCGATTTCAAATAATTCTAAATTGTGAATAGATCTAAGCTCTATGTCTGATTGAGATATTTTTTAATAAAATTTTGGCAAACCGACGTGTCGTGGCTCGTGTACGTCAGACCATTTTTTTGATCACTGCCCATATACCGACTCATTTGGAAAAGTCGATATATAAATAAATGTAGGATGTCGTACGCTGTGTAATGTTGGATCATGGTTTACTATAGTGTGTTTACTTGTTTTTTCCATTTGCGAAAATGCTCAAAGCAAATAAAAAAAATGAGGAAAAATATTTCGATATCCTTTCCTTATTTTATGAAATATACTCATTCGACTGTTAAGAACTTGCTGTGTAAGGATGTCCATCATAAAAACTGAAATTTATACGAATGATGCAACATTATAAACTGAAACTTTATTAATGCGAGTTAAACGTGTTTTGTATCATAACTGGTTGAACACAGTTCTTGTTGTTGTTATTGCTGTGGGATAAAGCAAAACAATTAATTTAATGAATTGTTGGTTTGTTTTTATGTGCTTCTATTACACAGACATTGCATGGATAGAAAATAATATAATTAATTTTACTTAAGTAATTTTGGTAATTTTTCTACCGACACAGATAATAGCTATTGCGTGAATATATAGCGTAAATATATTATATATATATATATTATATATATATATATATATATATATATCTGTGTGTATATGGAGTCATAAAACCTGCGAGTCTCTACAGGTGTTTTATATTTAATTTTCTCACGCATTTTTATTTATGGAGGTTTTTGTTTTTCATTTTTCGGCTTTTTAATTTCTTTGAAAGTGTTGAAAAGTTCTTCGTGTTGTTATTTTAACAGCTTTTTATTTCAAATTACTCTCCATACTCTAGTCATTGTTGTACGCTTATATAACTAATAAACATAGTCATACTATTACCACTACTACTACTACTACTACTACTACTACTACCACTAGTACTGCTACCAGCAGCAGTTGTGGGTACTTTTCAAACAACTTACCTATCAGCAACAGATTAGTTTATTATCTTTGAGAAATGTCGTTCCACATTGCTAGCGATTAACTCAATGATATTATTATTAGTGGGCTTCCGTTAGAGTTAGAGTGCCGTAGTATGTAAGTATAATTGGTTCTTGTTTTTGTTGGAAAGAAAAATTCATCAATCTCGTTTCTTAGAGTTGCGTTACGCTCGAACACCAAAAGGAATTTTCCTAACACACACAACTCTCAGTTTAAAACGATGCCTTGTGGTTTGGATAGTTTAATCGAAACGAATAAAATCATGTTTTACTTATTGTGCTGCTTTTTTTTGTTTTTTTTTAATTTTTTAGGCTTTTAACCGAAAAAAATGCGATTTCCGGTGCAAGTGTATCCGCTAGCGATTAAAGCTATGATCTATGCACATATGTGTACGAGCGATTGAATTAGTGTATGTATGTGATTACGTTGTTGATATACAACTACTCGTTATTAACCAACTAATTGCTAAGAGTTTCGTGTTTTTTATCGCCAAGCAACAACAAGCGAAGAAAAAAAAAAAAAAAAAAGGAAAAATTGTCAGTTTTGTGACAACGAGAGGATGTAAACAAATGATGGTTTATTTAGGAGGAGAAAACACAACAAAAACAAGTGAGAAAGCTATATTCGGTCGCAAACGAATTTTTTACACTCATCACCGTTATCCTAAAAAAGAAAGAGAGCTACTAAATATAAATGTTAAAAGAGAAAATCTATATACTGTGGGCAAAAAGCAGGGAACTCAGGGTTATGGGCGTCGTACGCATGTTCTTGAACCCATTTCGGTCATTTTCAAATTCTTTTGCAAATTTTTCGTTGATATCTTAACGCGAACCGGACAATCTTTACTACCACTACCCAATGGGATAGACGGACGGATATACAGACAAACATGCGTGGGTGCATTCAGAATCTGAAAATGGACAACAATTTATATACTATTTGAGCGCGTAGAAGCCTTTATAACGGGAATTGGGAAACAACCAAATCTTGATATGCTATAATATTGTCTAGGCATGGTCAATTTTGCCCCTATTTGCACAGATATGCACATAGAAAATACATACAAATTTTTATAGGTTACAATTTTTTATACATCTTGGAAAACTGAGGTGTTCTGTGTTTAGGCACTACTGCAGACGTGCCGTCCAACCGTTTTGGCCGATTTTCAATAGCAGCCTGTATGCAAGAATTTCAAACGTTTTTATCAATTTTGAAATCGATAGCTTTATTTTGCGTCCAGCAGAGACGCTTACAACAGACATTACATAAACGGACACACGAACATGCTTAATTAGATTTAGAATTGCATGCTGATCAAGAATATATATATATATATATATATATATATGCTTTGTGGGGTCTCGGATACTTCCTTCTGGGCGTTACAAACATTTTGAACAAAATGAGTATACCCGTCATCGTTCGGGGATGGATATAATAAAAATAAAAAACCAGAAATTTTTCCCCTTCTCTATATAAAAATTGCTTTAATGAAAAAAAATAAAAGATATTAAAAAAGAGGTATAAAATAAAAGTAAATAAATTAAACTATTAATATTTTACATGTTTTCGTTACATCAAATGAAATAAGAAAAAAAGTTATTAATGTACCCTGAACGAAAGAGAATTCAAATGAACTCACTTGTCCATAAAATTAAAATTCTCTGTCATATATGTAGTTATGAATATGGTTCTCGTCATCTCGCTTAAAAAAAAAAAAAATGCATTTATCTACACATTTGCAGTTAAGCGCCACAACAGTTCAGAGAAATGAAGACAACATTTTATGATTCTGCGAACAAAAAACCAACAACAACAATATAAGCAAAACAAAAAAAAAAAAAAAAACGAAAATATCGAAATAATCTTAAAAAAAAGTATATGCATACAAACATAGCATATGTGCGTAGTCATTGTAATCCCTCACGTTATCCGTTAAATGAATGCAAGCTTGCATGCAAGCATATGCCTCTCTACGTGTAGTGTGCACTTAATTTGTCACATCATCCGCATATACATATATATTATATAATATATATGTTAACATATAATGAATGAAATTGAAAGAGATATAAACGCACATACGCACGCATGATAAATAAGAAGATAATTACTTTGAGAATCTTTTTAAAAAAAAAAAAAAACAATCATCTCAAAGGAATATAAAAATTTGCAAAGTATTTTGTCAATTGGCAGTTTTACGCATTTCAATTAACAGTCGTACATATATACAAATCCAATTTTAGTTTGTTATATTCCATCTACAAATTGCCAGTTGTCGCTACTCTTCCTAAGAACGAATTAATCAACGAATCTGTGACACACAGCTGAGAACATATCGCAGTTTTTAGCGTTTCATCTTAACCAAAAAAAAAAAAATATATATATATATATATATATATATATAGTAAAAAGACGCATTGACGAATTCGCAGATAGACAGATAGACAGACAGACAGAGGCAGAGGTCGGTTAACCTAATCAAAATTTTTTTTGGCTTTGCGCGAAAGGTTTCTTGGTACTTAAACCAGTTAATGCTATCCCTTGTGTGCGGGTTAATTATTTAAGTTGAGTTCAAAATCTCAAGTAATTGAGAGTTTATTCGAGAAGATGTCCTTTTTGAAATGCACAGTGCTTTTAAGCTGAATGTAAAAAAAAAATTCCCTAAACCATTGTTCGACAGATCGGTTAGCTGAATAAAATCAAATGTGGAGAGAAGTGATGAAAGTGTTTGTTTACATATTTGTAAGCGAGGTGTTTAATAGAAAGAGAGAAAACGATTTTTCATATGAATGTAATTTTTAGTTGTTTTCTTAAAAGGTATTTTAACTCAGTTTTTACTATATTAGATTTACATTAGAGCATGAATTCGTTTCTGAAATAAGTCATTTATTATTAAATTGCTAAACAAATTTTTTATCATTTAACATTGTTGATATATGTTATTAGACGAATTTGTTTTTAATTAATATGCACATCTACAAGCGAAATCAAGCATTTTGACATTAAAATCTAAAAAAAGAAAAAATTTAGAAATTGATATAAGCACAATGTATATGTTTGCATAGTTATTCAATACTGCAATAAGAATAAAAGAAGGAAGTGTAATCTTCTCTTTTGATCGTAGGTATGTGAAATAAGAAGGCAGCTAACGTTAAGTTAGGATTGATCGTTAAGTTTGAAAAGGCCAAAGGTCGAATTAGTATCATTTCTCCAAACATTCCACGGCTATTCGAACAACATTTCAGATCAGTTGCTAAGAATAAAAATTAATTTTGGTATTTTAAGAATGATTTTGAAATAACATTCAGATAAATAACACGTCATTTAATAAGTTCCCGATGTAAAGTTTGATTGATATTCCTTGCAGGCTTGTGTAATCATCAACTTATTAGAAAAAAAATGGATGTATATCAATGTACCGATATCGGTACACGTATCGTTTTTTATTTCTTCGCAGTTAAATGTATCGGAGATGGTGCGAAGACAGGTGTTACTCATGTTCTGAATTGATATATACAAAGAGTTTACAGTACTTTTACGAATCGGCTCAATATCTTTTCAACCGCCTAATACATGATTACATATATCTCTTATTTATACAGATGCAATGACAAAAAAGTAGTTGATAGGAAAGGATTACAAGGTTTTCCAAGAATTATTTGAAATTTTAAAGGAACATCTGCGTTAAACAAATCAATCAAATAATAATTTAAAATAAAGTTTATATTATCATCATAATTAAAAACACACGTAGTAAAGATCCTTTAAAATCTTAACGTGCAAACGTCGGATATGAATACATTCACTAACAACATTCACTAAAAAAAAAAAACAAAAAAAAAAAACGTAAGATCATCGTCAAGGATTTTTCCGTACTTAGGGGAATTTTACGTTTATATAAAAAGGTTTAACTAAGCGCTCATTGCCAGAAGAGGAATGTAATTAACATTAATATCCTTATTACGAACGAGATAAAACGTATGCGTGTGTGCCTGTATGTGCCTGCATGCAATTGACAAAAGAGATGTAGTAAAAAGCCAAAGTGCGTGAAATAAGAAAAATCTTTCATTTAAAAGAAAAATGAAAAAAGATATAAAAAACAATAACAACAAAAAAAATAAAAAATAAAAAAATAAAAGAAACTTTATCTCTGTTCTTCTACCCTACGTGCTTGATTATAACGATGCAACAATTTAAAATCCGGTTTTTATATTTTGAACACCTGAACACAATCTTTAAAATATTTTTGTGCATGGACTTGTGTGTAGAATGCTTTAACAAAACCAGGATTACATCAATGCATTTCAATGTTTTTAAAATAAATTTAAGACAACAACAATATATAATACATATTAAATATATATATATATATATATATATATATATATATAGATTTTCTTTGTCAGAGAAACTTTAGTTGTTTGGGGAGAAGATGTGATCAAAATGAAATTCATAATAAAATCATATTTTATCTGTATCCCCAGTTTGCCTGCGAGAAAGCAAGCAAGAAACCAAGCAACCAAGCAAGCAAGCATTGGCACCCATAACCGACAACGTGTTTGTGTACTTGTGGCTGAGCAGCATTTATTGAATGATATAAAATTGTTTATATAGGTACATACATATTTATATATATATATATATATATATATATATATTGAACATATATTAAGTGTAAAATGATTAAAGACAAGTAATACCGAAAGATTTACACTCTTTTTATATAAATAACTGCTTAAACGCCGAAACTAAAAATTAAAAACTTCTTATTAAACACCTATCAACAACGCTCCGATACGTCCACCAAGAAAAAAAAAAAAAGAAAAAAACAAAAAAAAAAAACAAAATAAAACGCAAGGTATGATCTAAGTACACTTTAGGCCGAATTTTAGATACTCACTATAGTGTGTGCGTGCTGAGAAAGTTTTACCTATTCCTTGAGTCATCGTTCTTAAATATTTTACCAACCGTTTAGTGCTTGACGTAAATCGTTGAAAAAACAAAGATATTTGATAAACTAATGATAAAAATTCAGTCACTTGTTGCGATAAAAAAACATGTTTTCGAAACCTATTCACACATTTTAGCGGAAGAGATTGAAAACCAAAATTCTAAAGCTGAAAGGCTCAAGGCTCAAGGCCAGGATCCAAAGTCGAGAGCAGTGATTGAAAACCCCGTCTCTGTCCCG